CAAAACGATGAACAAGCGCGTGCTGGGCTGTGTCCTAACACATGTGGTCTGTGATTCTCGTAAACGTTGAAATGTATAGAAAGAAATGCACTGCGTTCGTGTAGGATAGATGACAGGCTTCTGCTCATGAAGATTGCACTAAAATGAAAATTAAAAGAGCTCCGCAACCACCCAGCCAAACATCAAGGTGCAATAAAAAATGTATAAAATACACAAATGCTCTATTCATCTTCAAGTAAAAAAAATGGTTAAAATAGTGCATAAAGTACAAAAATGCATCATAATATTTTTTTAAAAATAAGTTAACTAAAATACCCCCCCCCCCCCCCCCCCCCCCCCCCCCCCAAATAAAATTTGTAAACCTACCCATATTCTTTTTATTGTTGGAGAAGAATGCAACACTCAAACACTCATTCACGAGTGCACATGTGGAAGGGTGTAATTCTTTAATTTTTATTTAAAAATAAGTTTTGGTTTTGCACAGCCTCTATCAACTGTAAGTTTACATGCCTCTCCTCAACAACATTAATATTTTTTGTAGTTTTAAAAGCTTTTCAGCCCTATGTAACATTTCTCCGCAACAGTATAAAATAGAGACGTTTCCACCACCTATTCTGTAGGAGAAAATTGCAGGCCAAACATTTGACAAACCAGGCAATAGACCCGTTGCTCTTGGGCAGGGGGCGCGAGCGCGTCCGCAAGACGCGACCATGTTATGCTGGCAGCACAATTCAGGCGGCGCCGTAACGTTCGATTTTGCACGTGCAATGTTCGAATGCAAGCATCTGTCAGCATCTGAAGACTCGCGAAAACAAAACATCCAAAAAAAGAAAAACTAAAATTATAAAAAGAATTACGCAGCTCGCGGACTCAGCGTCCCATTCAGCTTTATTATTTTATTGCGCTCTTTCATAGCTTCCGTGAGCCCGCATGTTCCACTTTACGTGATAGCGAAGCTGGAGCCACTTGCAAAAACATGTTCCCTTGAACGATGCTCACACTGCACGAGCGCGCGTGCTTGGAAGGGACACTGCGAGCTCGGAGCTCGCTCTTGTAGCCTCTGCTACGCTGGCACTTGGAATGGAACGGAGTATAAAAAACTTTAGTGGGGGAAGCGTAATGACGCACGTTCGAAACGCGAGCCAAATATTCTATTTTGCTCGCTTGGAGCGCTGCTCAAAACTTGAGAGCTACGGGCCTGCTCCATAAACTTCTGTAATACCAGACATGAATAGCCGTGTCTAAACTTACACTTGAACTTTGTTTAGACGTTTCACTTCTCGTCTTCGACAGATCAGCCGCGTGCGTGGAACTTTGAGAGTAGCCCGAGTTAGATTAATGTCCGAAACAAATAGTATGGCGTTTATGAGAAACATAAAATCACATTTTGAGACGTATTGTGCGTTGTCCCCTTTTTCGTGCGTCGTCTTCGGTTTTTCAAAAATGTGTAACATCAACCAGCTCAGCTGCCTACTCACTCTATCTTCATAGAATCACTGAAGCAATTGTGGACAAAAAATGTTACTGCGCCAAATGTCGGCTATAGTGCTATAATGTGCATTATTTTTCTCGATATTTTACTAGGGCTCCTCTTTGGACGGATGTTGTAGTGGTCACAGCCGGCTTGAGTCGGCGCTTGCCACTCTTGAAGCTGTTCCAGCTGCAGAAGGATACTCAACTCGCAGCACGCGGCTATGAAGTACCTATGTAGCCCTGTACTCAAGCTCGTAACTCTAGAAACTATTCCGAGCATAAGCAAGAATGTTTCATGCGACACTATACTCCATTTCACCTTATGTCCGGATGCAGCGGACATTAGGTGTAACTTTAAGTTACACCCTCACGGCCGGTGTAACTTAAAAATGCAATAACTTCAGGAAAATCTTTTTTTTTTATTTTACGTGTCAGTTGAGAAAGGTCTGCCGATTTCCAGCCAAATCAAAGATTATCAAAAATTGCCAAAGCTTCCCTTTAACGTGTCGCAAGTTGCATGTCCGCAATAATTATTATTGTCATTTATAAAATATGTTCTGTAAAACGATTGTAAGGACAATGCCGACTTGGAAAAATAAGAATCGCAGACTGGAAGTGTTAAAGACGAAACATCGTCTGTCTCCTAGATTTTCCTTCATATTTTAAACATGGCGGCACCCAGCAGCTGTGCCGAGATTGTTGAGAGGGGTGTGCATGATGGGAAAGTCAAGGACGGTTCAGACAAAATTTTTTTTTCGGTGCCGGATGACCTTTTGGATAACCTCTCACGTGGCACCTTTGCAACGTCGCCCCCTCGCATCTCTTGCCAAGGTCTGGTACATGTTGTTTTCTTCCTTACCCTTTTAAAAATCTTTTTTTCTTTTTAAACCGACTACCACTGCTAAAAGAAAAGAGGAACTGAAAAGGGACGCGTCGTCTGCATGCGAAAAATGGTCTCGGGGGAAATACTCTCGCGGTTTGCCAAGTGGCACATGCGCACGCCCACGAACGACGAGAGAGAAAGTTAAGCAACCCTTCCTGTTGGAAGTCTTCCAAAAATGCAAGGAGTGCACCATTTTGCTAAATGTGTCGTAGGTTCGAGTGGGTGTTTCAAATTGAACTTTCTCAAAATATTTTTTTTTCTCCACAAATACACAGTTCTCGAGCTTGATATTTTTAGGGCGATCCCTAGGAATCATTTTTGGTCGTTGGCAATAATAAAAAAAAATATAAATTTTGGGGTCCTTTAAAGGGAAGCTAAAACACTTCTTGAAAAAAAAAAAAAAAAAATGAGTGGCGAATTTTGGCATATTTTTATCCCGTGAATCTGAATATCACTTCAGTTTTCTTCGAAGATTTAGCTAAACCCCAGAAAACACGGAAAAGCTCCTACCAGTCATGATGTCATACTGGGATCTTTGGGCCGCCAAGCGCGTGTTGCTCATGTGGGCAACGCGTGCAATTGAAAGCTTGCTAAGTATACTTTTATGAACTGACACCAGTCGGGACGTCTATTTCTGACCTATTTGAAAATGATGAGAGTGTCTGTGCATAGCTTTGACAGATGCTGAAGATGCGCGAGAGCAGGCATTCCGAAAACTCCTAGTATGACGTCACGCCCCGGCAGGAGAGGCTTCCGCGGTACACAGATACACAGCATTCGTGACGTAGCAGGGCTGGTGTGGTTATGAGCTTTGCCCTTGGTGGCGTTGTGGTGCCATGAACGCGTTACAACCAAGCTGTTCGAAATACCTGTGGTGTGACGAGCGTTGTGCGCTTCGTGTTTGTGTGGCCCATTTTCCCCCTAGAAGATTAGCCTGTCGCTCAAAACTCGGACAAAATTTGCTTCCCCCACCTCGTTCACCCTTAAGCTGACAGTGCGGTGGAAGCTATATGCTTGCTGAACCAGTCAGCTGCCTCCCTTTCATCACCTGACCACATATACTGCGCTTGGGTATGCGGAAGGGAATGTGATCACATGGCAAAAATGTAGCTGGCCCAATGAGCACGTAGCTTCCACAGCACTGTCAGCTTAGGGGTGAATAAGGTGAGGAAAGCAACTTTTGTCCAGGTTCTGAGCGACGGGTTAATCTTCTAGGCGGAGAGTGGCAGTGTCCGGGTACACAAACGAGGGTCCGAGCAAGAGGGGAGTCCCTCCTTTCTGTCGTCTTGAACTGTTTGGCACAATGTGCGATCTGTGAGTTGAAGGGGAAAGCTAAGAAAAAAGAAAAGTGGAAAAATCGTTTCATGATTGCTTCAAACAGTTGAGCGTATTTCCAAAGAGTGGCGCTGCTCCGATGTTTACTGCGGCTATGTAACGGTTCTTGCTACGTCATGACTATGTAGCAAGATCCCCAACGTTGCTAGATTACCTCCCAAATAGGCTTCACAGGCATCCGCCAGGTGCACATTGAAAGATTGTTTAATTAGCTTCAAAATTGGTTTTCTTGTGTCTTTCAGCAAAAGACTGGTGTTGTTTTTGAGGTTATGCGGCAACATGCAACATGTTTAAACTAGAAAATGAGCGCTGGAACTTTGTTTACGTACCCCACTTTGGCGATTTTTTCATGGTCGCTGATTTGAGTCAAAATCTGCTCAACACGCCGATAGCCACGGCTGTACCAGTTCCCCAAGTATTCTGTTAAAAATATATTTCGCAAAGTTATTGAATTTTCGAATTTTGTTTTCATTGTGTTTCTTAAACACAATGAAAATGTTGGCCCTGCTGACAACGTTGAAGTGTGACGACAGAAATGGTACAAAGTGGCCAGTAAGCCATGTTCCCAACTGATTACAAGACGTTTGATGGTGGGAAAAAAATGCTGGGTAGCTGATTCACTGAGAAGCACACAAAAAACACTCGACATTCCGTTTAAGACTACCTGCACGACCTGAAAGTCTGTGTCATTTGTAACGTCACACAGCTGGAGAACGTGCGGAAATTGGAATGCTGGTTTTGTCATCATCTTCATTTACGGTTTTCTCAATAGCTATTCTGAATTTCGAGAAAACAAGTCTGCGGACACCTAAGCACTTGTTATGGGTTCTGAACGCGAAAGCATGAATGTCGTCCTTCCGCTCCCTTAGTTCGTCTGCGGCGTAGTGGCGTGTACGGCTACGCTTTGCTGGTTGACGGCCGAGCGCGCTCTCGTGAAATGGCCGCGCCGCGATGAGCTCGGCCGTGCAGCCTCTGCTGCCAGGCTTGCGCCGCTGCACCTCTTACCGGCGACCGGGCCGCTGCATGCGCTGCACCGCCGTGGAGAGGGCTTCTCTGGTGGCGTTCCTTGTAACTACGCCGCGCGAGAGCCAATGGGAGCCTTGTTCCTCGATGACGTGCGCCAGCCAATGGGAGCTTATTCATCAAATTTCTGCTACAGACGACATTGGGACAGGGGAAGGGCTCGTCACCCTGCCACCCCTGCTTGCTAGCTCGTGTTGTGGATTGTCAGGACGGTGCCTCATATGGCCGAGAGACAAGGAGCGAGCCGTGTTTCGATCGTGACCCATTCAACTCTGTCTTGGCGCAGGTGACGAGTTGGTACAAGGACAACGAGACCTACGACTGTGTGTTTGGTCCACTGGGCTCATCCTACGAGGAGTGTCGGGCGGAGTGCGTCGGGCTCCACCTCTGCACCAACGAGGACGTGCTCAGGTGAGCTTGCAAGTCTGCGACGTCAGTTCTACACGCAACCAACCGGGTCGAGTCTACGGCGACCCGAGACGAAGAGAAGCAAACTGGTGTCGAACACGCGTCGGGGTTTTCGACAGCGGTGAAAACCGCAGGGCATCTCCTTCGAGTTCCCGGTCTTTAATATCTATTCGTTGCATTTCGCCGTGCTCTGGCTTTGTTTACGAGAGGCCGGGGCATCGTCGAAAGTGGGAAGCTCGCTCTGGAAGGGGAATGGCTGAAACCTCTCTCCGCTGTTCTCGTCTTGTCAGCGACCACGACCGATTTATTGTAAGGGTCATGTTTACGCGTGCTGTTACGAGGATCCCTGGCCTAGAAACAAAGGAAGCATTTACATTGTGAATGTTTTAAAACGTTAATTGGGTCGGTAGGTCGACGAGATAAATAATACTACGGTGCAATTCACTTCTAACGATGTGCCGCTTATAACAATCAGTTTCTAGTCCAGATACGACGATAATCGGTCATAACGATTGGATTTTCGGGTCTTCTCATTATCGTTATAAGTGGATTGCTCTGTATAAGGAAATGGGTTGAAAGTTTTGTTCAGGGAACAGCCTGCTCGTCTGGTTTTCATTGTGGCCTCGTTTGGCAGCAACGAGAATGGTTGTGGCCGTTTTGCGTGTTTTCTTAGACTGTGGGAAGTCGGCCCCGTGCAGGTTTGGTTATATTTGAGTCGTCCCCTAAACTGCGTTTGCCGTTAGGCTGACGAGGCGGTGTGAGTTACGTGCTCGCCGGACGAATCGGTCGTCTACCATCCATCGCCCAACCCTGCTCTCTGCGTGTGAGTATGTGCAGAGGGCTCGATCGTGCAATACGAGGCTGACTGTTGACTGGTCCAACAATTGTGGAACTTCCACCAATGGCCTGTCGGCGTAGCAGTAACTGAAGTTCGAGCTAACCTGTTGTCCAGCAAAGTGGTTTTATTGGTTGAAGAAAACGGGTAGCTTAAATGGGCTTATGACTAGGGTGTACCTTCTCAAACTGTTGCAAACAATAACAAAACCAACAAAATAAAATGAGTGTTTTCAATAAAATAAAAAAAAAAGATTGCACCATTTTCTTTATTAAGCACAAAACATTTTGAAAAATTCATGGAATTTTGGTCTACGGTGTTAAAAGATATTTCATAACTGTCTACCTTTTCTTAAAAAAAAACAATTATATTCCTGACCGTAATGTTGACTGTGGAAGATACAATATTTTCGCACAATTAATTTATTTGATAACCACAAAGTGGCACAAGCTGCCAGTCAGTTCTTAAGAATGGGGCTGCTATGTATCCAGTCGCTCATTGGCATTGTCTAGGTATACTCGGGGGCGGACTTACCAATAGGCAGAGTAGGCACCTGCCTAGGGCGTCATAATTTTGGGGGTGGCCGATTTAGGGCCGTCCCCAAATTAATTGGCTCTTTTTTTTTTAATCTAGCTCCAAGTTTAGTTACTTTGGGAATTCTAGCTCCAAATTTAGCTACTTCTGAAAATTATAACTCCCCCCTCTCAACCATGGGGAGCCTGGGGGGGTTGGGGGGGGTGGGTGGAGGCATTGCTAAAGGCTGCCTATGGTGGCAAAATGCTAAGTCTGCCTCTGGGTATACTTTTAGCTGCTAGGGACTGAGGTTAGTTTCTAACCCATGGTTAGAGGGGTAATCACACTTCGGGCAAGCGGGCCCCGAAATGCTTTTGTTGTGCAACCGAAATCTCAGTTACATGACGCTTTCTTCAGGGTAAGCCTCCATCAAATTGTGGTCATACATAGAATGAATGTCTCCGCGAATCTGTACAATCCCCAGGAATCATAGGTTTTAAAACTACCATATTCACTCGATTCTAAGCACCCCCTTTTTTTCACACCCGCGATGTTCAATGAGAGGGGTTGCTTAGATTTGGAACATGCCCCGAAAATACGAAATTTGCACAAGAAATATTAATTTATTATAATCAAAATGAAAGAATAAATGTTCTGAAGGAAATAAAGTAAAGACTGGAGAGTAGCCCACTTGCCATCAGTTTCCACCACGGTCGACTAGTCGCTCTCGCAACTACTCTTTTGAGGATGATGTAGAGGGAAAGTTTTCAACCGTCGGCTGTGATGCACAGCATTACGGTCACCCTTTGCTTCTCATAGCCAGTCGTACGCACTTTTACTTCTCAGGCGCCTGCTTTGTTCACGGTGTACACAGGGGTCTCATCGGCAATGCTGATCTGCCCGAGTTCGTAGCTAGATTCGCGACGCAGCTTCATCACTTAACGTTGGAAGTTGACAAGCTTTTCCTCGAAGTCCACTGGTAGCTTCTGGCAGATAGTGGTGCGGCGTCTCAAAGAGAAAGCATTCCTCTTCATCATACGCTCCACTCAGCCTCGGCTTGCGCGGAACGCCACACTCCAAGCTGTTCAGCAGCGCCGTGATTTCCATTGTCTTCCGCGTAAGAAATAGAAATAATCGTTCTCTTGAACTTTATCGTGTTTGAAATTCTCTTCGCACTCATGATGGACGACTTTCGCAAACCACGTTCACACAGTGAATGGAATACGATTGCGAGGCCAATGCGGATGAATAGGCTTAACAGACTAAACAACCGACTGCAACAAGCACAAGGAGACCAAACAGACAAAATATCCTCAATAGAGGGTATGGCAACGCACCTCTTTCGCAACCTGCACGGATGCGAAAGTGGAAAAGGGCAGTATGTGCTGCCATCTATTAACTGACGTTGAAACCAAGCAGCAGCGGCCGTTCGTGACTCCGGCGCTCGGCGATACCGGCGTCTCCGATCTCAAATTTCTTGTTGGGAGGGGGGTGCTTACATTCGCATGCAAACTTTTTTTTTCAGGTGTTTATGTTTGAAAGTTGGGGGGGGTGCTTAGAATCGCGAAAATACGGTAGTTTCCTATGAACGTTTCCCAATGTACCCTCATGTGTTTCCCTAGCTTCCAAGTTTCCTTAACCGTCCCTGTCCTTAGGTGAAGTGTTCTTCCAGTTTAAATAGCAGATCTGAGGCACTCACTGATACTTAACTATGAGCCATACACTCCCTGGTATACACAGTACTGTTTGCAAGGTCTGCAGCCTTCTGCACTGCCATATTGTGTCAGTGCCAAGACCGGGAGGAGTTCCTTGGTTGCCTTTTGAGGCAGACGTGGTTTCTCGAGACCTAAAAGTTTGAGATCCCCCACCGTGGATGTTCTGTGATCCACAAGTATCGCAGATCCTCACTCGTTCTGTTCTTTTTCTTCGTCCACGATGCAGGTTGTTTGGCTTCGAGGGCCAGGAAGGGCAGGACGTGGCATACGTCAACTGGCTTACCATGGTTGTCAAGGGCGTCGAGGGCCTGCAGACCTACAACCCTCGCACCAAGACCTGGCTGCAGGTGAGAGGCCTGTAGGCTTTGCGCTCGCATTTCCACGTCAACCGTCGTGCCTAGCTCAGTCACTGTTGGGTTTAGACTCATAGATTGACAATTGATTAAGTTTAGTGCCTTGGCCTGGGTAGCGGTGCACTGCCCTTTAGATACAGAAGAACCCAAATGAAGGCGGGAGATACTGAACAATAAAATCGAGCAAAAATGTCTTTGTCAGTAAACAAGGCATTGTTTGTCTGTTGGAGGCATGTCATTTGGCAGGTAGCCCATACACCAGGATAACAAGGTTCTTGGTACTCAGGGATCCACCCAGATAGTATGCAAAACCTCAGTGCCATCAATAACCCTGTGCAATTGAAAGAATCGCACAACTTGGTGGAGGATATGCATGTCTCTCGCAATTATTTTATGATGTCTCGGAATAAAAGCTTCCTGCGGACTTCTCGCATGTTTGCAAATGGCAAGGTATCTCTTTTTTTTTTTTTTTAAATGGAACGGCAGATGCAGGTGTTTGCCACATTGGGATGGTTTGCAGGATACTTCTCTATCTTAAAGGGGCACTGACACATCAAAATCATGTTTTTTTTATTATCCAAAACCCTCAAAATTCGGAACTTGGGAATTCAGTATTTGTAAAGTAAAAAAACAATTTCCAAATGCCGAATTCGAAGTTCCTGCGCGATCCACGCCGATGCGTTGTCGTCAAATAATGCGGAGTCCTGAGAGTCCACTTTCTTTCACGACTCCGTGCTGTTGCCATCGCGACCCAAAGCGAGGAGAAAAGGAGTGGCAGTGAAGGCGCCGGCGCACCGAAAAAAACCGGTTTTGAGTGGTGTCGCCTGCCCAGGCAGCATGTTTTCCAAGGAAGGATACAAATCTAGGAGACGATATTGCACCGGACTCCGATTTTTGGTATTTCAAAAAGAAGGGCCGTAGTGCATTCGCATTTGCGTTAAAAAACGTGTTTTGCGATTGCCAACGTTATTAAATGTCAGAGAAATGTCGCCTACAAAGCTTCTAAATTTCATGATTTTTGACGTCGCGAATCAAACGAAGCGAGAAGGCGAGGAGCGGTAGAGGAGGATGCCAGAAATACAAAGAGGGGTGCGTGCTTAGAAAAATTTTTTTTTTCGCGATGCGGGTTTTTTTGTGTGTCTATGACTACAATTTGCATCGTTTTAGACAATGAAAAAAAATACGACCCGTGGGGTGTCAGTGCCCCTTTGACTTGTACGCTCACTTAGCTTTTCTGACGTGTTCATGTTGCAGCAGGTTTTAGAACGCTATTCAAAGACCACATGGAGCAATGTGGGCTCAGACACTATGCGCACCTCTGGCTGGTTCGAGGCATGGAGCTCACAGCATACAGTGCAGTGTGTTAGGTGTTGTATGGTAGTGAGTCTCCACAGGGGAAAGTTCTCATCCAGTGGGCACTCTCAAAGGCTAGCTTAGGTTTGGTTGTGACAGTAGGGCAGCTCAATATTCGGAGCTTGCAGTGACATCTTATTTGCTGCAATTCTGGTGGCTTTTCTGCTGTGAGCATGTATACCTTTGGCAAGATACATTTCATGCCACGAGATTTGTTCTTAGCAAGAACGAGTAGGGATGACCACCAGCGTGATGCAATGACTTTGTGTTTCCAGGAGGTAATACAGTTGAACCTCTTTATAATGAACACTGATATCGCGAATTATCGGATATAGCGAACTAATCACGAGGTTTGGTTGGTCATGCTTTATTTGGATGGGTGTTCTAGTTATATACCGAAACCATGGAATCTGACGCGCTATTGGTTATAGCGAAGCGATTCCTGCTTTTCTTGCGTCACAAAATGCTACGAAGGTTATTAAAAAGTAGAAAAAATACAAAGAGTAATTTCTAAATGGAAAATTCCGAAAGTTTAGATCGCCCGATGTGCAAAAATGCGCGTTTCGGGAGGTAGCGCCACCTATGAACCGAGCGAATAATGGCGGTTCTGCCGGTGCTGGCCTCTAAGTGAGCCATCAAGCACCATTGCAGACTAAAGTGAAGGTTTTGAGGGCAGTGGACAGCGGTCGGAAGAAAAAAGACATCGCTGCGGACTTCGAGTTTGCACAGCGTGATATCTGCCATCCTTAGTGCAAGGAAGAAGATCGAAGTCTGCTATGCAAAGAACACCGTCAAGACTGGCTGAAAGGGTGTAGGCCTTGCCTCGACCCGGACGTGGAAGAGGCTCTCTTCTCATGGTTTAAGGACGTAACAGTGCGAAATTTGCCGTTGTCTGTTCAGCTTCTTTAAATGAAAGCAATCAGTGTGGCATGTGTGTGTGTGTAAGCGTTGTTAAGTAGATGAGGAGGAAAGGGGAGGGCCAGTATGGCGTGTCTGTTAGGGCATGATGATTTCAGTGCGAGCAGCGGTTGGCTCCAGCGCGGTAGCTCCAGGTGAAGATGCACCAGCCCAAAATGACGTCTTTAAATAAATGGAATAGATCCAACTAACGTCGTTTCTCGTGTTGGAAATTGGTATCCTCATGCTGCGATCTATTTTTTTATATGCTGCTTAATGACAGGTAAGGATCTCGTGGTCCGCTCCAGCGCATTTTTATATCTTAGCGCTGTGCACGTTCTTGCACGGGCTCGATTGCGGAAACATTTGTGTCAATTTTTGTGTGAACTTTTATAACGAATATCGCATATAGCGAACAAATTCCTGCTCCCGATGCTAATTCATTATAAAGTCTGAAAATATATCTCCAACCAAAAAATGAAAAGCAACCCGACGTTTCAAAACCAACACGGTTTCTTCTTCAGGGGTGACTGAAGGCGCGCGGACACAGCAGCAGCTCCCAACCTCTTCGTCTTCAAAAAAGGAAAGAAAAGAAAAAGAGAAAAGAAAAAATTAAAAACGAGAAGTTAGGAAATCGGAAAAATTGTAAAATAACTTGTTAGTTATGAAGATGGTCATCTCTTCAGCTTTTCCGTCAGGTCACGGAGGCCATGTGCATACAGAGAGGGCAGAGCGCCCAGCGACCTGTTTAGGTTTCCTGGGGTGTGCTGGATGTGCCACGATTCCAAGAAAAGTCTTCTTCGAAAATTGGGCTCTGTGTCCACCACGTGCGCGTTCGCGAAGTCAATGCGATGGTCTAGGGTATCGCAATGTTCGGCGATGGCGCTGCGCTCACTGTCAAACTTCCGCACGTCGTTCTTGTGTTGGCGGATACGCTCGGGAAAGTTCTTCGTCTCGCCGATGTAGGTTGCAGGGCACTCTGCGCAAGGAATGGTGTAAACCACGCCCTGTGCTTTTTCCTTTGGTGGACGGTCTTTCGGTCTTGGCATAAACCTTCCCAGTGTGGACGTGGGCTTGTGGGCCACCAGAATACCTTGCTTTCCCAGTACTCGTGCGAGCGCTTCGCTGGTTCCCTTTACGTAGGGAACGCTTATGCGCGCGACTCGATGGGGCTGTCGTTCGTCCACTGGCATCTGGTTTTGTCTGGCGAGACCTTGCCGTCGGGCGATGCGCTCAATAAAGCTGCTAGAGTAACCATTTTTCTTTAGGTCTTCAATTATGGTTTTCTTCTCCTTCTTTCTATCGGTTTCCGACAAGCAGATAGTCGTTGCCCTACGCAGCAGGGTCGAAACCACTGAGGCCTTATGACTCGTTGGATGGTTGGAGACAAAATCGAGGTAGCGTCCGGTGTGTGTTGGTTTTCGGTACACCGCAAACGTCAGACCTTGTCCTCGTCGGTTCACCAGCACATCAAGGAACGGCAAGGTGCCATCCGTCTCATATTCTATGGTAAATTTAATGGCCGGCTCGATAGAGTTGAGGTGCGCCAAAAAATTATTCACGTCCCGTTCCTTGAGAATGCAGAAGCAATCGTCTACATAGCGCATGAATACTTTGGGGCTGTTGGGAAAAGACCTCAGCGCTTTTTGCTCGATTGCCTCCATCGTGAGGTTCGCCGTTGTGACCGAGATGGCCGCACCCATTGCAGTGCCACTGACCTGTTTGAAAAGCTCCCCTTTGAAGGTGAAGTACCGTATTTACTCGCACAATGAACGCACTCGCGTAATGAACGCACCCCCCAAGTCGGCTCTCAAAATTTTGACTTTTTTTTTCACTCGCGTAATAAGCGCACCCCCAACTCCGACGTCAAAATTTTGACCCCCTCCTCCCACGCGCGCGAAATGAACGCACTTTTTTATCCTGGTGCAGCGAGGTCGCGAATGCATGGCCAGCGTGGTCGAACAAAACGCCTTGAAAAAGGCGTTAAAAAAATTCGCAAAGATCCAACGGAAGAAAGAAAAAAAAAAACATGCGAGAGGAGCTTTTTTTTTGTACAGCGCTGTCTGGACTTTGGGTTCGCGCGCTGCCGCGCGCAAGGAGGTAAGAAAGAAGCGCTCTAAGCGAACGAAACAGCTTGCATAAGGCGGCAAAAAGAAAGAAGAGAAACCCAAGGAACTAAGAGAAAACAAAAACAAAGATGAGCTTTTTTTTTTTCTTCTTTTGTTTGCACAGCGCAGTTTGGTTACAGGGGGTCGCGCGCCGCGCGCAAGGAGGTAACAAAGGAGCGGAGAAGCCCTCTAAGCAAACAAAACGGCTTGCGAAACGCGGCAAAAAAAAAAAAAAAAAAAAAAAAAATGAGAAAAAGAACAAAATAAAAAGAAGCTTTTTTCTTCTTTTTTTTCTTTTGCACAGCGCAGTTTGGTTATGGGGGATCGTGCGCCCCGCGAGCTAGGAGATAAGAAAGATAAGCGGAGAGCCCTCGCCTAAGCAACGCCTAAGCAAACAAAACAGCTTGCGAAAAGCGGCAAAAAAAAAAAAAACAAATAAAAAAAAAAACACGAGGATTTTTTTTTTTTTTTGCACAGCTTAGCTGGGTACGGGGTCGGGCGCCGCGCGCAGAGAGATAAGAAGTTACTTCGATTTTTCAGGATAATAAAAGGTCGGTCATTATGCGAGTAAATAACCGACACAAAAATTTTACTCGCCTAATGAACGCCCCCCCTAACTTTGCATCGATTTTTCGGGAAAAAAAGTGCGTTCATTCTGCGAGTAAATACGGTATGTGCTGCCGAGACAAAACTCGAGTTTTGTCTTGGCAGCACATACTTCACCTTCAAAGGGGAGCTTTTCAAACAGGTCAGTGGCACTGCAATGGGTGCGGCCATCTCGGTCACAACGGCGAATCTCACGATGGAGGCAATCGAGCAAAAAGCGCTGAGGTCTTTTCCCAACAGCCCCAAAGTATTCATGCGCTATGTAGACGATTGCTTCTGCATTCTCAAGGAACGGGACGTGAATAATTTTTTGGCGCACCTCAACTCTATCGAGCTGGCCATTAAATTTACCGTAGAATATGAGACGGATGGCACCTTGCCGTTCTTTGATGTGCTGGTGAACCGACGAGGACAAGGTCTGACGTTTGCGGTGTACCGAAAACCAACACACACCGGACGCTACCTCGATTTTGTCTCCAACCATCCAACGAGTCATAAGGCCTCAGTGGTTTCGACCCTGCTGCGTAGGGCAACGACTATCTGCTCGTCGGAAACCGATAGAAAGAAGGAGAAGAAAACCATAATTGAAGACCTAAAGAAAAATGGTTACTCTAGCAGCTTTATTGAGCGCATCGCCCGACGGCAAGGTCTCGCCAGACAAAACCAGATGCCAGTGGACGAACGACAGCCCCATCGAGTCGCGCGCATAAGCGTTCCCTACGTAAAGGGAACCAGCGAAGCGCTCGCACGAGTACTGGGAAAGCAAGGTATTCTGGTGGCCCACAAGCCCACGTCCACACTGGGAAGGTTTATGCCAAGACCGAAAGACCGTCCACCAAAGGAAAAAGCACAGGGTGTGGTTTACACCATTCCTTGCGCAGAGTGCCCTGCAACCTACATCGGCGAGACGAAGAACTTTCCCGAGCGTACCCGCCAACACAAGAACGACGTGCGGAAGTTTGACAGTGAGCGCAGCGCCATCGCCGAACATTGCGATACCCTAGACGATCGCATTGACTTCGCGAACGCGCACGTGGTGGACACAGAGCCCAATTTTCGAAGAAGACTTTTCTTGGAATCGTGGCACATCCAGCACACCCCAGGAAACCTAAACAGGTCGCTGGGCGCTCTGCCCTCTGTGTACGCACATGGCCTCCGTGACCTGACGGAAAAGCTGAAGAGATGACCATCTTCATAACTAACAAGTTATTTTACAATTTTTCCGATTTCCTAACTTCTCGTTTTTAATTTTTCTTTTCTCTTTTTCTTTTCTTTCCTTTTTTGAAGACGAAGAGGTTGGGAGCTGCTGCTGTGTCCGCGCGCCTTCAGTCACCCCTGAAGAAGAAACCGTGTTGGTTTTGAAACGTCGGGTTGCTTTTCATTTTTTGGTTGGAGATATATTTTCAGACTTTAACTCTCACCCAACCAGGCAGATATCTGCCGAATATGTTTACTTTCCAATAATTCATTATAACGAGGTTCAACTGTATTAACTGTATTACAGTCTAAGCTCATTATAACAGACATTTGGATATAGCGTGCCAATTTGCGAAGTTCAGTAGGTTTCCCTCTATGCACCATTGGCTCAACTTCATATCTGCATGCAACATACTCCTTTTACAGCAGACCGAAATCTTGGGGAAATTCAAGGTCTCTTATAACGAGCTTAGACTGTACTGAGATCAGAAGTAGGAGGCAATGCTTTTGCAATGTTGCTGTGTAAAGTGCTGTCTGTAGATCTATCTTTCGAGAGAATATCCCACATATGTAAGCTTGATCCCAGATTTCTTTTATTTCTTTGTTACGCATTGTTTAGAAAACAACGCGTAACTCGTGAAGTGATATCTCCCATGGATGGTCATATTTTTGTGAAAGAACGCGCTCGAACAAGGCCAAAAAGGCCCGTGACTCGCGATTCTCGTTTCTTGCTCTTCTTGCTTTGACTCCGCGAGGACGCGAAAAAAGCAAGGCCGTTACCCCTCTTCAACAATTCTGCAGGAAACGCGACGTCGCGATTCATACCCAATCGCATCCTTATTTTACAAAAATACGGCCAGTCGTTCGAGATATTGCTTTATGAGTGGTGTTTCGGGGTTTGTGGCGCCCCGTTGAACACTCCTGCTACCTTATTTTGTGATATCCAAATTTCGCTTCAGTATCCCTTTAAGCTCTGAGGGGGGGGGGGGGGGGAGTGAGTTTAACGAGTCTTGTCGTTGGGCCAGTTGTTGCATGATGCTCAGGAATTTCGTAAGCGTAAAGAGAGACACACATAAAGAAGGGGACGCAGACATGCGCTTGTCTGCATCCCCTTCTTTGCGTCTGTCTTTTTTCGTGCTTACAAGTTTCCGGAGTGTTAGGGGGAGCCTAGAGATACGATTGCGGCGTTGCTGCCTCGCCCTTCTGATTCAGGATGGATGTCGCTTCCATCGCAGGCGCACTCTCGGGCCCGCTACGTGATAATGCGCGTGCTGCTGGAGGCCGGCGACCTGGTGAAAATCCAGGAGACGACAGGGGAAGACGGCAAGCCGGACCTGCTTGTGAGCCTTGACCGGAGCAAGATCCCTTCGGTCGGTGCCCCGGCTATCGAACAGTTCCTCCTTCAACTGCAGGTCGGTCGGCCAACACCTTTTTCATTCCTCTGCGGCCAACTCGTTCCCAGGGGTAGTCCTCCGATTTATCGTCGGAGGACTGCCCCATGCACGGGCGGGCGAGTGTCCGAGAGAATTTGTCGGACTCTGCGACTCGTCGGACCTCACAAATGTCGACATTGTAAATCGTTGGTAGGAGCTCTAGCCTACGGAAACCTGCTTGATCGCATGAACCGATAACATAGACACAAGGTTTTGCTGTAATTTGCGCGCTATTTGTGAACCAGGTTTGTGCGTTCCTTTCTTCAGGATGCAGGAGTGTGGCTAATCATTAGGGAGTTTTAGAATAGTGCACACTAAAGCCTTGTGTATGCAAAGAATAGCACCGTCGCCACTGCGCATGCGCCGAACGCTTACCACGTTTTGCACTTTGCGTGCACTATTTTAGCTTATGCTATTTCTCGGAAATTGCGTGCCTACACAAAGAGTCTTTGCGCTTCTCCAAGGAGGATTCGTGATGAGAAGTTGGCTAAAGCCAAGATCAGCACAGTTAACAAATGGCGGCTCCCAGGACCATGGACTCATGGCTGCGGTTGCTTTGCCGCCGACGTGAGCGCGATGTCGGCAGCATCCTTGCCACTGCGGTTTTCAATACGGGATGACACTGCACTCGGTTTGGAAAACCCAGTAATCTGGGCAACGATCACTGGCAACTGGATGCTTGTGACGTGCAAACATTTCTTGGCTAAGGTGTGGACGCGAAGGTCAGTACACGAGACCTCTCTTGCCGAGGCGACGCAAGCGGACATGATTAGTCAACCGCTCGTGTCGCATTCTCATGTTTAAACAAATCTAAAATGTTACTCTGAACCAAAAAGCTTGTTTTTTTTCTCAAGTTACGGCATTTCGTGTATGAAATAAAAAGTGAAAGCTGTTTACAACTCCCTGTAACGCCGAATTGGAGCGCAGCTCTTGAGGAGGAGGAGGGATGGGTACTGAGGGGAGGGTAGACCCCTCCTCCTTCTCCTCCTCCTCCCCTCATTCTTTAATATGCTCCGGGGGGGTCACCGGACCTCGGTGGGAGGGGGTCACGTGACCTGGGGGGGGGGGGTCACGTGACCTCGGGGTGGGGGCCACGTGATCTCGGGGGGGGGGGGGGGGGGGGGGTCACGTGACCTCGGGGGGTCACGTGACCCTGGGAGGGATCACGTGACCTTGGGAGGGATCACGTGACCTTGGGGGTCACGTGACGTGGGGGGTCACGTGACCTTGGGTTGACCTTGGGAGGGGTCACATGACCTCGAGGAGGGGGGCCACGTGACCTCGGGGGTACGTGACCTTGGGGTCACACAGACCTGGGAGGTCACGTGACTTGGGGGTCACGTGATCTAGGAGGTCACGTGACCTCGCAGGTCACGTGACCTTGGGGTGACCTTGAGAGGGGTCACATGACCTTGGGGTGACCTTGGTTACGGCGACGCTGACGCCGCTCAAGCCGGAAACGGGCGCCTAAGAGCTGCGCTCTAAAAGTGTGACTTTATCTTGGTGGCGTTGCAAGCGCGAGATGCTCGGGCTTTTGCGTCGCGGTGGTGAAACACTATTCTAAAAACTCCCTTGCGTAGCGTGCGCTAACTCGAGCGCTAAATTTAACGCTAGTGTGCGTTAAAATTGCGTGCATGATTCTCATAATAGCTGCAGGCTCGGCCTGTAGCTATTATGAGCTACAGGCCGAGCGTAACATATTACAAAAATGTCAAATTTTTTTTTTTGTGCATATTAGGCAGGCAGCATGTGTTGCCTGGTAGAGATAGCACCAAAGAGGCAGCTCAGCAACATTTCTCTGGTTGATTAGAGAAAGTAAAGAAGCAAAACAAGACTGCCTTTGTTTCGCAGAGCGGCCACAGCCCTTTGATTACAATATTTTTTTTACTTCTTTAATGCTCTTTGCAGCGTTTAAGAATCTATCTTTTGTTATGGATAGATAGCCTTTAAAGCTGGATTCTTGTTAATTTGAACGTTGGGAGACTCGGGTTCAACTCCGATTGCTGTTAGCGCCAAGCAGGGTTCCGTATTTTTGTATAAAACACGAAAAACACTTCTCGCTGGAAATATCGTTGATTTGGGCGTATCCAAACAACTCTAAATTTGGGGACTGCGAGCTGTAAAATCCCAACCAGTCTTTACCTTTTCCTGGGCCCCCCGTAGTTGATGCCTATGCTCCGTTTTACCATACGTCCAGACACAGTGGACACTAACAGCCATCCTAGCCAATCCCGCTTCGTGATCGCAGCACGTGATATTGACTCCGCACGTTGCGGCGCGCCCTCTTCAAGGCCATGTGACGCTTGTGCGGCCTTCGATTGGCTTCGACGACTTGCAGCACCCACCACGCTTGGACGTGGGGTGAAAGAGACTATAGGGAGTGCTGGGGGTCATAGTCGTGTAGTCTACTCTTCGTAATTCAAAGCTGATTTATTAAAATTTTCAGTCAGTTCGAAGTATGGGTGCAGCCACAGCAATCACACTTCCGAGTCTATGGGGAAAAAACATGATGCGGTAATTTGAAGTTTAACTTCTTAGTCTAGTTAATTTTTTTAAACTTTTTTTTTGTGTGTTTGAAAGTTTGGCTATTTTGGAAGCACGAGAAAGCCTCACAATTATGCTGACTAGGGATGGGCAAAATACATGCAAATATGTATCGAAATACAAATACAAAATACTTCGTCAGAAATGTAATTAATTACAAATCTAATTACATTTGCCAAAAAGCATTTAAATACCTGATACAAATACAACCCAATGTATTTGGTCTCCTCCAAATACTTTTCCAAATACATTCCTCAAAATTTGCATCAGCGACTTCAGGGCACCTACAACGGGTTTCTGGGTATCTCGTTTTAATTTTGCATCGCACACTCGGGAGTTCGTGTGCGAAGCTCTAGTAACGTAATAGAAATATAATCACAAAAAATGCAATCAGCTTGGACGTAATAAGTGAAAAAAGTACAAAGCTTCAAGCAGCTTTTTTTTTTTGTCAATTACATTTTGGTGTAGACCAACAAAAAACCGAGACGACCAAGACGCGCAGCACTAGCTAGAGAATTTTTTATTGTTGCAACTCGCTGCAGTTTCGAAAATCTGGACGATCCGCGCATTTAGAATGTTCCGGGCAAAAATATGGATGGAAATCAGGCTGGAAAGCATCTCAAGTTGTGACAGGCACTTATTTAGCCAGTCTGCCTGTGAACGTCGATTTCGTCACAATTCTTGCCCTGGACTAGCACCGTAATCACAAAGTCACTAAACGCTTGTGCTTGATTGAGTGCCACTGCATTCGGTGCAGAACGTAGTTCTGTTCCTGCTCTGGAGAGTGACAATAAATTTGAGGGATGTATTTTCGCTCACAAAATTGTATTTAATTACAATTGTATTTGAAATACCCACGTTTTAGTATTTTAATACACACATCAAATACATTACCCAATTTGTAATTAAATACAAATGCAAAATACACAAAGTATTTGAACTATGTATTTCAAATATTTGTATTTGAAATACTGCCCATCCCTGATGCTGACCAAACTTAAATCGTAACCGTGCGCACTCTGCCCATTTTGTTGTAGTATACCTTGTATTTGAAGTTCGACGACCGAGTTGGCTTTGCAGTGTTAAGGAGGTTGTGCTCTTCGGTGGTGGGGTTCGTTCAACAAGGTCCGTGACCTTTGACCCTTTCCCCGCAGCTGTACAAGTCGACGGCGGACGTGAAGTCTGCCACCGAGCTGTATGAGCGGTACTCTGACGTGAGTGCCGACGAGCCCCACCCCTTCCTCAAGTACTGGGACATTGTGATGGCGCGCAAGAAACCCAGGCGCATCTTCGTCCAGGCAAACACCGTCTTGGAAGGTGAGCCCTGAGGGCACGTATCAGAGTCCTCTGCTGCAGGAAGTATTGAGTATTATTTAGAGTTATTAAGGAACTTGGCGGCATCGAAAGAACCCCGTCAGGAATCCCGCCCCCTTCCCGTAGATCAGTGGTTCTCAGGGGGTCCGCGAAGACGAAGCCCTGCCTCATTAGTCAAGCCAGGCAATAAAAGTTGTATTTTTCTAGATTGAGAAAAAACATTCCAATTTTCTAGTGCGTTTTCTCGTGTGTATGTCAATGATAGAACTTTAGCCCATACTTATATTGATTTATTAAATCGTTATCATAATAATTAACCTATACCTTTCCCTTCCCTTCACCACAAACGGGGTCCCCCATCATCTTCGGCGATCCACACGGGGTCCGCGACACATCAATGTTTGAGAACCACTGCTCTAGATGTTCTAGCGACAAGAGTCAACGAGTTTACGTGCTTTTAAAAACCTGCAGCTTTTCACCGTGGTGCGCAGATGTGACCGCAAAGTTCGTTATTGGGCACAGTAACGCGCGACTTTGTGCGTATCCACTCTTTATTTACTCGATCACACGCAACACAGCCTCGCGGTCACTGAAGTATGTAGGAAAGGAAACGCACTGCACACGCAGTGCATTTCCTTACGCCTGGGACAAAGCACGTGCTGGGGCAACGTGCTTTGCCCCAGGCGTAATTGAGACGGGTACTGTTCAGCTGTCGCTGTAACTATTGCTGGCATAGCGGAATGTCTCGCTGCAGCCCAAGGCAAGCACCAGGCAGGCAATGGCCTCATGGCAATGCCAGGCGTGCCCTCCGTCTCTCGGCCGAAGGGTGAACTACTCTGGTTGGATGTGGTCACCCGATCTAAGGATGTCACGGATTTTTGTACCTAGCACAATGCTGATGACACAAACGCACAGACGGAAAGTCCCAATAACAGCTAGCGCTGTAGAAAAAAAAAAATGGTGCACGTAATAGGTTGAAAGATGGAAAGGTTTTTGCTTAGGGCAGCACATCAATATAGGCCTCAACCACCAGACAACGTCTGTGGCCACTTTTGTAGCTTCAAGGGAAACTCGCTCAATCTGGAAAAAAGAAAAAGTAAAACCACAAACGTGACACGAGGTTAATGAGTGAATAAAGTTTTAGAGCGCAGCTCTTAGGGGCCCGTTTCCGGCTTGAGCGGCGTCGCCGTCGGCGTCGGCGTAACCGCGCGGTGCATCATGGGAAATGTCCCATAATGCACCGCGCGAGCCCCCCACCAAGGTCACGTGATTTCGTGGGGGGTCACGTGACCCCCCGAAGTCACGTGACTCCCCTGAGGTCACGTGGCCCCCTCCTCGAGGTCACGTGACCCCCGCCGATGTCGCGTGACCCCCCGATGACGTCATCGTCACTGATGACGTCACCGGCATCCACATCGTCATCGTCATCATCACTGATGACGTCACCGGCATCCACATCGTCATCGTCATCATCACTGATGACGTCACCGGCATCCACATCGTCATCGTCATCACTGATGACGTCTCCGGCATCCGCATCGTCATCGTCATCATCACTGATGGCGTCACCGGCATCCACATCGTCATCGTCATCATCACTGATGACGTCACCGGCATCCACATCGTCATCGTCATCATCACTGATGACGTCACCGGCATCCGCATCGTCATCGTCATCATCACTGATGACGTCACCGGCATCCACATCGTCATCGTCATCACTGATGACGTCACCGGCATCCACATCGTCATCGTCATCATCACTGATGACGTCACCGGCATCCACATCGTCATCGTCATCATCACTGATGACGTCACCGACATCCGCATTGTCATCGTCATCATCACTGATGACGTCATCAGTGACGTCACTGATGTCGTCACCGGCATCCGCATCGTCATCGTCATCATCACTGATGACGTCATCAGCGACGTCACTGATGACGTCACCGACATTCGCATCGTCATCGTCATGATCACTGGTGAAGTCATCAGTGACGTCACTAATGACGTCATCGGTACCCGCATCGTCATCGTCACTGATGACGTCATCAGTGACGTCAGTGATGACATCATCGGCATTGGGGGTCACGTGACCCCCAAGGTAACGTGACCCCCCCTGGTTAGTTTAACCCCCCCCCCCCCAGTGCCCTTCCCTCCTCCTCCTCAAGAGCTGCGCTTTAATTCGGCGTTACAGGGAGTTGTAAGAGGCTTTCATTTTTTTGTTTTGTTTTTTCATTACTGTCTTGCAGCCTTTTCGAGGTGGGGGATCGCTGGCCGAGTGCGCTAACGCGCCACAGCTCCGAGCACGTGAAGTGAAAGCTCACGTTGCAGAACGCAACGACGCGTTACTGTGTCGCAGGAAACAGCTCAATCTGAATCGCCGCTCATTTTGATCCGAACGATCATTGTACCAACGTGTGCGGTCGTGTATCACTACTGCGTGATACACGTGGAAGTCCCCAGGCTAGCAGTGGTACTAGACCGTCTAAATTTCTCACCTACGGCGGAGACATCGGAGGCCCACTGGCGCCGGCCAACTTTCCACTGCCTAAACAGACACATAACACGGTACTCACTTTCGAAGCAGTTTGGCTTCGGCCGTTATCAGCCTGTGCAGCGAGGGAGCCCAATGCAGCCAGGATTGCTACGAGCTAGTGCACTTTCTCGGCATTCCCGCAGGGGACAAGGTGCAACTGAAGAGCTACGAAGCTTCGCCCGAAGGGCACCTGCAGTCTTGGCTGGACCGCTTCGCCTGCAGTGCCAAGGACCTAGACAGGATCATCCTGGAAACCTGGAAGAAGGACCAGGACTACTTCTAATCTTCTAAGCAACGTTTTCTGAACTGCCATCTTCTTTTTGTCTCGTTTTTTCTCTACACGCCCATATGAAGGCTGCTGTAGAAAACATTGAGAGCAGGAAATACTTTGAACTTTTCTAAGTGGCCAGATACTCTGCTTATAAATAGCGAGTCATATGAAATTTTGTTTGAAAGGCATCTGTAAGTATTCTTTCTGCAGGGTGTCCGTGTTGTCCGGATTTTATTTTCTGAACAATCTGCCGCATTTTGGCGTAATGATGGCTTTTGATGCCCAATTTAGGTGTAATCTTTTCTATGATACATTTGAAAATAAAGGAGTGCACTTTGCTTGACAAACTTTTGGATGGTCTTGTTCACTTAGTCTTTTCTTGTGAGTTGCATTCCTGGCTGTTTAATAGTATTATGCAATGACTTGAGTTTAAGCTTTATAAACTGCATCTTGGTAGTGCAGAAACTAAGCCTAAGATCTTTATTAGTGCTGCCTTTTTATGAACTTTTTAACTTTTGGAGAGGGGGAGGTAATTTGGTGTTCCTTATCAAACGAGAACACTCGTGGCAGTATAGGAATTTTCTAATAGTTCAAGAGCCGTGTGCAAGAAAAAGGCTATCGCTAAGAGAATCTGCATCAGCTATCTACATTCTTGAGAAAATAAATTGCACATAAGTTTGAAGCCTTTCTAGTCATGCAAATTGCAAGGCTTATCATTTTGCTACTTTGTGCAAGCCCCTCAGGCCTGTGTCATGATCACGACCAACTCTATAATAGAGTTGGTCGTGGTCATGATAAATTTGACACCTAGTACCTCAAAACATGTCTCCAGGGGGTTTCAGCCAATCAGGGACAGGATATGTTCACGTGACACCCCCGTGGTGGTGATGACAGCTAAAAACTTGGTTCTGGTTTAAAATCGATCGTTTTTGGTAATCAACCTTTTGAGAAAGATGAGTTAGGCCCGCTTCAGACGGGACAATTTCGCCCAGCAACTTGACGTCGCAACACCGGCCGCCCGCGTTCACACGCAGGAACCGAATCGCTACGGCTTGCCATCATCATTCAATTTAATTTTTCTTGCACTGTTTAGACGCATAGCTACGCTCTAAAAACGTGCTTTTATGTCTGAATGGTGTTGAGAATACTAACTCCTTTTTCTGAAAAGGTTTATTTCCAACAACGATCTATTTTAAACCAGAACCAAGTGTTTAGCTGTTATCAGCACCACAGGGGTGTCACGTGAAAATATTGTGTCCCTGATTGGTTCCTGCCGCTTCAAACGTCTTCGAATGCGGAGGGCAAGTTCGTCTGCTTCTTGCGCAGGGGGTAGCGGTGACGTCAGAACGCCGAGCCCCGATTGGCTGATCGCGACCCCCTATCTGAGCGTCGTCTGCTCCTTTGCAACGTCGTCTGCTCGCAACATCGTCTGCGTCTGTCTTACCTCTCCTGCGACTTTCGAAAGTGCAGATGCCAGGTTCACGAAACAATCTTACGCCAAAAATGTGCGTGAGACAAAACTTAAGAACAAATTCGTATTCACGAAACGAAATTTTCTTGTTTTGCGCAGGTTACGACGAAATCCTACGACAGCTCCGAAGCTGTCTTACGCACTTCCTACGATCAAATCAGCATGGCGGACAGCGTCGCGGTCGCGACGACCCACGGACGTTTATTTTGCTACGTGCGCTTCTCACGCGTCCCGTCTTCAAGCAGCAAGAAAAAAAGTAAAAAGTACTTGAAACAGACCACGACGAACAAGAACGCTGGATCCACAAACACCCGGGAAAAGCTCCAACGGCCACGATTCCACCGAACGCGACCAAGCGAGTACGGCAGTTAGGCCTAGCAGGCACTCCGCGACTCGGCGACCGTCTGCCCACGACCGGCTGGCGTGCTGAATGGAATATGCCCGCGCGACCCTTGTGGACCCTTCCCGTATTATACTTTGATCGCTGACCTCAATTTTAGATTAAGAGGTCAATTTCTTCCTTTTGTTATCTCCTTGTTTCCCGTGGCAACGGTGACTCGCCGGTGAAAAAGCGGTGAATCTCGACAGACGCAGGAAAGGCAAAGCAGCCATCCCTTTGACTAGGAGACGTAAAGCATACGACGTTAACTGCGCCAACCCGCCTACGCCGTTAAAGAATGAGGGGTCTCGCCGCACACGAAAGGAGGGAACTTGCGGGCACTAACACGCTTACTCTCGGTTCTTAGCAAACACACCTCGGTGCCTCGGAACACCTCGCCAGTGAGTCCTTTGACTTCCCTCCTTGATGCGCGTCTGCTAGTTGTTAGACAAAAACAACGTCCCGCTCGAGTTATTTCGTCTGCCCTCTCTGAAAGGCGAAGTCGAGCTCGATCGTAAAGACAGAAAGTCGCAGGAAAGGTAAGACAGACGTAGACGACGTTGCGAGCAGACGACGTTGCAAAGGAGCAGACGACGCTCAGATAGTTGGTCGCGATCAGCCAATCAGGGCTCGGCGTTCTGACGTCACTGCTACTTCCTTTCTCATGCGCAGAAGACGAAAATGAGCCCACTTGCGAGGCGTATTGCTCCGAGTTGCTCGCTTGTCTCGAGCCAGACCCGAGCTCAGCAATCCGTGTCGATCTAGGGAAAGCTAGGAAACAACCCGCCAGCAACTTCAAAATTGCTGGAAAAGTTGCCCTTCTGAAGCGGGCCTTAGTATTCTCAACGCCATTCAAAGATATAAAAACACTATACTCCGTCTCATCCTACGATGGACTAAAGCGCAATGCTACAGGCCGCCGGGTCCAATCACGAGCTTGTTAGAAACCACACTCCGTCCTACGTATCAGTGCGCCAAGACGCGTCATGCGGAGGAGAGTTTTTCGTCTGCTATTCGAGCCCTCGCGGCGGCTCCTTCTGCTTGCTGCTACTGAAGACTACTGAAGGGATTAAATACCGTCTGAAAGCGATGTGCCGAAAAGAACCCGGGATCAGAACCAGAGGCCATTAAGAAATGAAGATGAGTTGGATCGAGAGTTCGACAAGGGAGCGTATGTACGAACCACGTGCGGAAAGGAGATGCGGGTCCTGGGTAAATTTTACGTACACAAAGATTGGATTGGATTGTTATGGCTGAAGTCAATGTTGCCTGCGCATCCTTCATTTCTCCAAACAGTTGACATGTTTACTGAATATGGCATGAATGCTTATGAAACTAAATATCATGTACCTAGAACTTCACCAATATAAAATTGCGGTCTATCACACCAGAGAACCACATCCGTACGATTAGTGTTCTTCGTAGTTTGCGTAGTGGAATTTCTACCGCGCACTCTTTTGCAATGCGGATGCAAGCTTTTCTGAGGTAGTGCTCCGCCCGCCAGCCTTCAGGCCTTAGTCCATCGTAGGGCGAGACGGAGTATAGTGATGGACCGAATCTGCCGAACTTCGGATTCGGCAAAGTTCGGCAAAAATTGGGCAAATGTCTGCGCACGCGCGAGAACGCGACGGAGCCTTGGATTGCAAATGGACGCCGTGCAGACTGTGCAGTTGTGCGGTGACGATCGTGCAGTGTAGTACAACCAGCGGTTACGGCGCGGCGTGGGGTAGGCAACACGGTAACTGTGCGTTTGTGAGCGAGTGTGGTTCTCTTCAATATTTTCTGCCTCAAGAATAGAAGATCGACCACTAATTTACGCAATGCACTGCGCAAGTGACAAATGATGGGATGCATTCTGAAACATTGAGACATTGGCCGACAATTAAGGCCCGTTCACTCTTGCAACCGAGTACGACCAAGAGAGACCAGACCGGTTTTTAAGCCTCTTGCGATCTCTTAGGACCAGCTCCGTGCTGCAGCGCATCCGGTCCTAAGAAGTCGCAAAAGACTTAAAAACCGGTCCGTTCTCCCTCCTGTCATGTTTCCGAGGTCGAACATTCATATGTCACGAGAGAACATGTTTATTGATACTCAGTCGTTACGCCATCTTGCCAGCGTCCCTCTGGCCGCGCTGCCTCTGCTTGCTGCCCCGTGCGCCGGTGAGGTGGCACCCTCTGTTGAGAACGCGCCACAACAGTTCACCGTACACGACACCTCCCCCTCCTGAGAAGCGAGTCTTTGGCTCAACTAAAGGCTGAGACGTTCTGGTGGTCTCACGGCTCGACCGCTGCGGGTGACTTGAATGGCCTCTTCTGGGCAGGGCGGTTTTCCATTGTTAGGAAGATTTCCCTGAGGCACTGCGTGCAGGTGCTTTCTTGTACGTCGGACATTCCCAGCGGCTGTCTGGACGATGTATGATCTCAGTGTATCTGCTGGTCCAACAACGGTTCCTTGTTGGGTGCCTTGCCTGACGTAGACCACCGTACCTGGATGGAGGGGCTCTCTTTCTTGCGTCCTGTGTCGTATATTGTAGTTTTCCGCCTCCCTCTCCCGAATGGCCTTGTTTCGTTGTCGATACGTGGATCGATACATCCACTTTGGTTGCAATGCCTCAGGTATGGTAGGAACATTTGTCTTTAGCTTGCGGCCCATGAGAAGTTCGGCAGGGGAGTAGCCCTCAGGGCCTGGCGTTGCTCGGTGTGCCAGAAGGCCTTCAATGACCCTGTCAGATTTTCGCAGAATGTTTTTGGCCGTCTGGACCGCTCTCTCAGCCTCACCATTGCTCTGGGCATAGTGTGGGCTAGATGTCACATGTTCTACGCCCCAGCCACTCAGAAATTGTGCGAACTCGAGTGAGTTATACTGTGGGCCGTTGTCCGACCTAATGATATCTGGAATGCCATAGCGAGCGAACAGGTCTTCCAGGAAATGGACAACATGCTTCGTCAGTGTCCCGTGCAGCTCTTCAAGTTCAAAAAACTTGTAGTAGTCGACGGCTAGGATGTAGTTTCTTCCTTTGAAGTAAAACAAATCGGTGCCGACCACTTGCCAAGGACGTTCTGGGAGAGGAGTTTGAAGCAGATGCTCGGTTGGTGCTTGGCGGTGCCTCTCGCAGGCTGGGCATCTGCTCACGAACACCTCGATGTCTTGGCTGATCGCTGGCCACCATGTAGACTCGCGTGCTCTCGCTCGACACCTGACAATACCTTGGTGTCCTGTGTGAAGTCTTTCCAGTACTTCCTGGCGTAGACTTGGAGGAAAGACGAGTCTTGTTCCCCTGAGCAGGAGTCCATGTACAACTGACAGTTCGTCGGCGACACTTGCATACTTGCGCACTTCTGGTGTCAACGTCTCCGTTTTGGGCCATTTTGTTGCACAATAGTGCATGACGAGTGACGTCGTCTTGTCCTTTTGCAGCTCGGCTCTAGTTTTGTTTAGCATGTCAGTCGAGGCTGGCAGTTGCTCGATCGTAAGTAGTTCATACTCTTCGATTGCTGACGCGAGGTTTTCATCTAGGCACTGTAGTGGCTTTCGCGACAACACGTCGGCAGTGTGCATGTCCTTTCCTGGAATGTGCACAATCGTGAAGTCGTATTCGAGCACACGCATGCGAAAACGCTGAAGTCGCGGTGTCATTTCGTCAATGCTCTTCGTCGAAAACAAAGGCACCAATGGCTTGTGGTCAGTCTCAATCACAAAGTGCAGTCCGAGCACATACATCCTGAAATGCTCGCACGCCCACGTTGCAGCGAGAGCCTCCTTTTCCACTTGAGCATACCTTTGCTCTGTTGGTGACATAGCCCTGGAGGCATATGCCACTGGCTGTCGCTTCCCCTCGTCGTCGGTTTGGAGGAGTACGGCTCCTAAGCCATATGATGAAGCGTCTGCTGATAGTGTCAAAGGCTTCTGAGGGTTGTAGTAGCACAGGACAGGAGTTGTCGTCAGGTCAGCCTTGATCTCGTCGAACGCTCTTTGCTGAGGTTGGTGCCAACACCAACTCGTCTCGTTGAGCAGCAGCTCTCGTAGCGGCTTTGTCTTCTCGGCTAGTCCTGGAAGAAATTTGGCCAACTGATTCACCATGCCCAGGAAGGATCTCAGCTCAGTCGTGTTCCCTGGTGGTGACATCTTTCTGATGGCTTCTGTTTTCTCCGGGTCTGCAGCGATACCGTTACTGTCCAGCACGTGTCCAAGGAACTTGATTTTCGTTTTCCGAAATTCACACTTGCGTGAATTTAACGTCATTCCAGCTTCCTTGAGGCGCTGGAGCACTGCTAGAAGTTTAGCATCATGATCAGCTCGATCTCTCCCAAACACGACAATGTCGTCTTGGTGGCATGCTTGCCCAGGCAGTCCTTCGAGGATGCGGAGCATTTCCCTCTGGAAGAACTCCGGAGCTGTTGCGATGCCGAAGGGTAGCCGCAGGAACTGAAATCTTCCAAATGGCGTAATGAAAGTGGTCAAGTCTTGTGATTCTGGTGCAAGGGGTGTCTGCCAATAGCCAGCATTGGCATCGAGCTTACTGAAGAGCTTCGCATTTGCCAACTTTGCCAGGTTTTCCTCCACTGTTGGCATGATGACTCTCTCCCGGATCACTTTCTGGTTTAGCTGTCCGTAGTCGACGCATATCCTGATCTCGTCATTCTTTTTCTTTGCAATGACCATAGGCGCACACCAGGGCGTTGCATGGTCAACTTGCCTGATGACTCCCAGTTTCTCCATGCTTTCGAGTTCGGCTTTGACTTTAGGCAGGAGTGGAACAGGTACTCGTCGGGGTGCTGCCACTGCATAAGGTGTAGCATTGGCTTGGAGCGTCACCCTGTAAGCTGTCTTCATTTCACCCAGACCCGTGAACAGTGAGCTGAATTCTGGTCTCGCCTCGGGAGACTTGCCTTTTTGAGTCTGGTTATCCTGTGTTTTTGTTTCCACTGTCTCCAAGTGTGCCAGAACGTTAAGAGCTCGTATGGCTGGTCGTCCTAACAGTGCAGTCTGTAGCCCTTCCACTATGAAGACTTGTTGGTATGTTGACCTGCCTTGCCATGAAATGGTTGCATCAAACATTCCCTTTGCCTTGATGGGTGTTCGGCCAGGTCCAAAAAGTCTCTTGTTCGGTGTCTTTGGTTTCTCCATGCAGTTGTTGTCGTGCTGGGACGGAGGAATAACACTGACGTCTGCTCCTGTATCAACTTTGAAGTGCACTGGACGTCCTTCCACCGTTGCTGTGATGAACCATGGCTCTTGGTTTTCTTTGTCACAGAGCTCACCGAGGAACACGGCCTCCGCATTTGCAGTTCCTTTTTTTGTGGTGAATGGCCTCTGCTGTGGTTCTCCTCCCAAGTGTTGATGTCCCGACAAGCATACAGTGGCGTAATGCCCGGTCTTCCTGCAGTTGTGGCACTGCTTTCCAGCCGCAGGGCATTGTTTCTTTGAGTGTTGTCGAGTGCTGCCACACCACTTGCAAGAGGTTTGTACCGTCGGATGTCTGACTGGTGCCTTGCCTCCTTTTCGTGGCCCATTTCCGTAGTTCAGGCGTCCTTTTGGCCCTCGCAGCTCGTCTACCGCAGCACCTTGTTCAGCTTTATCGCGCAGCTCGTTCTGTTGTTTTTTTACGATTTCCGAGTTACGTGCTTTCTTTGTGGCGGTCTGTAACGTGAGCTTGGGATCTAGCTGTAACTTCTCGCTTAGTCCCACGTCTAAAAGTCCCACAACCAACCGGTCGCGGGTGAGGTCTTCCTTCAGCCGACCGTATTCGCACGTGTCGGCGAGCTTGTGGAGATCCGTGATGAACGCCTCGACGGACTCGTTCGCTTCTTGCTTACGACGGTTAAACTTTGCTCTCTCGAATATTATGTTCGTGCAGGGGATGAAGTGTTCCTCGAACTTGCCTTTCACTGTTGTGTAGTCGGCGAGGTCGGCGTCGGTCAGTTGCAATGACGCTAAGATGTCTTCGGCTCCCTTGCCCATCGCGTACAGAAAAGTGTTCACCTGTGTTTCCGCGTCGCGGAGGTGAAGACCCGACACGACACGGTAGCGCTCCCAACGTGCACTCCACCGTTTCCAGTCACTTGGATCGCGAAAGTCCAACTTTTCTGGAAGTTCGATGGCGAACGGGTTGAAGAAGTTCCCGCCATTTTGCTGCTGCGCTGCCGCTGCCCTTTGTGTGACGATGTTTCCTTCTTCGTCCGGCATGTTGAGTAGTTGGTGGGCGCTCACCGGTCTCTGGACGGCGTCTACTTGTTCTTGAGGTTAGTCGTTTCTTTCTTTTACCGCTGCCACCATGTCATGTTTCCGAGGTCGAACATTCATATGTCACGAGAGAACATGTTTATTGATACTCAGTCGTTACGCCATCTTGCCAGCGTCCCTCTGGCCGCGCTGCAGTCACGCGTCACGCTGCCTCTGCTTGCTGCCCCGTGCGCCGGTGAGGTGGCGCCCTCTGTTGAGAACGCGCCACAACAGTTCGCCGTACACGACACCTCCGTCTTACTCGGTCGCAAGAGTGTGAACGGCCCGTTCACACTCTTGCGACCGAGTTAGACCGACAGAGACCAGACCGGTTTTTAAGCCTCTTGCGACTTCTTAGGACCAGCTCCGCTGCATCGCATCCGGTCCTAAGAAGTCGCAAAAGGCTTAAAAACCGGTCTGGTCTCTCTCGGTCGAAGTCGGTCGCAAGAGTGTGAACGGGCCTTTACTTTAAAGCACTCCTCGCAATTATAACAATTCTGTTTTGGGCTCGGGAGTAGTGTGTTCCAAAACAAAATAATATTGCTTTTTCAATTAGTGTTATTTCGCGATTTTCATGTATCTGCATAAAACTAAACACATAACTATAATGCTCGAAGTTGCAAATCCGACATTCACTCCCTATCTTGCGACACGTTTGTGTGTGTCCTAACACCAGAAATGGGCATTTTAAAGGTTAAAAACGAGACGTTGCGAATATGGGACGCACATTTTCATGCAAAGCTGACTCAAATCGAAGAACATGCATATTTACAGTATTATTATTATCTCTTCTGGTGAAGGCTCAGCAACCGTTGCATTCGTTTTCGCGCACAAAACGGTGACTCCCAGAGAAAGCAAGAACGCAGCGTTATTGCCTTCATTTTAGCAATGTACACACCGTCAGGGGCGGATGCAGGAATTTCCTGAGGGGGGGGGGGGGGGGGGGGGTCAGGTGTTGGCCAGCGTACCATTTGTTTAGGAACCTCCTCCCCCTTTCCCTCGTTTCACGCCTTAAATTTTACACATGCAGAAATCAAGAGGGGGGTCAGGACATCCGGACCCCCCCTCTAAATCCGCCCCTGCACATCGTACACACACATGCAGGCTTGCGTTGATGATGCCTCAAAACCGAAACTCTCGTAGCGTGATTCGTGGCGGCGCCACGCTCGCTTCTACCTAAAGTCACTTCTACCCAACCTCGTTGTCACTCCACTTCGGCAAGGAGTCACTAAAATTGCCAGTAAACACACAAAAACGACACCGATACTATTATCTTGTAGAATATTACCTTATTTAGTAAACGTGTTGCATTTAAGTTAAGAAAACAAGAAACATTAAAAGTTTTTTCGCCAGAAAAAAAAACAAAAAAAAAAACGAAGTATCAACGAGTCTAGTAACAATGTATTTTTGCCGAATCTTTAAAAAAGTTAGGCTTTGCGGAATTCGAAGATTCGGCACCGAACTTCCGATTCGGCAAAAGTTCGGCCCATCACTAAAAAACACGTTTTTAGCGCGTAGCTCTGCGTCTAAATAGTGCTAGAAAATTTAAATCGAATGATGATGATGACAAGTCGTAGCAATTCGATTGCTGCGTGTGAACGCGGGCGGCCCGTGTTGCTGGTGTTGCGACGTCAAGTTGCTGGGTGAAATTTCCACGTCTGAACGGACCTTAAAAACTCTGCACGTGCCGGTAGACGCCGGCACATGCGGCGCGTGGAACACCCTTGCCTGCATTCTCCTTGATGCTTGGGTAATTTAGCAATAGGTCTATTTAGTTGATTAATTATCAATAGGCACCATTGACTCTCAGGTAGATAATAAAGGTATCTAAGGCTCGCTTCAGACGAGGCAACTTTCGCAGCAATTTTGGGGTTGCTGGAGGGCTGCTCCTTAGCTTTCTCTAGATCGTCCGGCTCGAAACAAGCGAGCAGCTCGGAGCCATTTGAAGACGTTTGAAGCGGCAGCAATCAATCAGGGACGCCATATTTTTACGTGATGCCCCGTGCCGGTGATGATGACAACTCAAGTCGTGGTTCTGGTTTGAAATTAATCGTTTTCTTTTTTATTTTTTGGGGGGGGGGGGGGGGGGATAATTCGTCTCAGGAAGATCAGTTAGTATTCTCAACGCCATTTAAATGTATAAAAACACGTTTATAGCGCACAAGTGTGTGTCCAAATAGTGCAAGAAAAAAAAATGAAAGCCGTTTACAACTCCCTGTAACACCGAATTTGAGCGCAGCTCTTGAGGAGGAGGAGGGAAGGGTACTGAGGGTTACCTGTTCTCGGGGTGGGGGGGGGGGGGGGGGAGGGAGGGAGGGGTGTCATGTAACCCCCCAGAAAAATTTTTCCGCTAGATTTAGCGGGGAATTTTTTCCGCTAGATTTAGCGGGGAAATTTTTCCGCTAGACTTAGCGGGGAATTTTTTCCGCTAAATCTAGCGGGAAAATTTTTCCGCTAGATTTAGCGGGGAAATTTACCCACAATGCACCGCGCGGTTACGCCGACGGCGACGGCGACGGCGACGCCGACGCCGCTCAAGCCGGAAACGGGCCCCTAAGAGCTGCGCTCTAAAATAAACTTTAATGATGACGATAGCAAATTGCAGAAATTGGCTGCTGCGTGTGAACGCTGGCGGCCCGTGTTGCTGATGTTGCGACGTCAAGTTGCTGGGAGAAATTGCCCCATCTGAAGCGGGGCTAAAAGATTTGTCGTTGTGCGACCCGCGTCGGCCATGTCTACGCTCGCATCGCGCTCTCTTTGTTGTCATTCCAAGGCCGCTTGCGTGCCCAGTTTCCTTTCCTTCCGCTCTACGGGGGATGGCGGTCCCGTCGCGCGTGTCTACTTTCCTCCGGCTCCTCGGGGCGGGTCCGTGTCGTCTGCTAAACGGCTTCGCTGGTCATCCGCCTTCGCCGAGTGGAGCGGCTCATGATTTTTTTTCTTCATTTGCGATATTGTCGTGGATGGAAAAGGAGACAAACGTAGAACTAAAAATAACCGTTGAATCGGCGAACTTGCGCCAGAAAAAAAAAAAAAAAAAGAAAGAACGAGCGTCGAGAGAGCAGGAGCAAGTGTCGAGGTGTCGGTGTGCAGCCAGTCGGCGAGGCCTACGCTGGGTCTACTTATCTACTCTACTCGGTCTCTCGATCATTCGGGTTAGAATGCTCGAGCGTCGAACATTCGAAGTAAGAGTAAACGTTTATCTTCTCGAAGTACGGAGGAGCGTTCCCTCTCGGTCATGCACGCGGCATTACTCCCCCCTTAATAAAAGCTCATCGGCCCGATGCGACTTTAAATAATATAAGACAAAGTTAAACCAAATGACCGCTCGCAGTAAATTGCGGACTCATCTGAACTACGAAAATACTCGATCGCGGCGGCAGATTCACGTGGTCGGCGACGATTCGGACTGCGGCAGGCGTCTTTCTGGCTTCCTCCGGAGCAAGGGCAGGTTCTCGCAGCGTCAGACGGTTCTCTCCGAGGTCGATGATTGCGCCGTGTTCACGCATAAAGTCCATCCCCAAAATTGACCTCTCTTGCACAGTTCACTGTAGTACGACGAATTTCAAGCGACAATACTCTGTTATTTGATTTATGACAAGGTACGACAAAAAAAGTGCAATTTGTAAGAAGCGCGAAACATTGTAAGAAGAGCAAATTGTTTTCCTGAAAAAAAAAATGTTTTCTTTCATATCTTTTTAAGAGGGGGGGGGGAGGGAGTGATGCCGTATTGGGGTGCACATAACTGCTGCTATAGTCACTAATAGAATGAGAACGACAGGGCGTGCTTTGGCTGCCCGCGCACGCCCGAGGTCCGCAACCACGAGACACCGAAGCATTGTCGAAGGCGGAACCACTGAAGCTACCTCCTGCAGTTTTTTTTTTTACCTTGCCATTGAATCTACTTGAAATACCCTCTTGAAAATCTATAAATTGTGTTCTTTTTCTTTACTCTGTAATGTTTTCAATATTTTTTTTTCTCGCTCAATGCTACGAAGACAAAGCCTTTATTGGACCTTACCCGGGTTCCTAAGTTTGTTGAGTGTGTTCAATCCTCAACTATGCCGCGCGCAAGTTTGCTTCTTGCGCAGGGGTTCCGGTGACGTCCGAACGCCGAGCTCTTATTGGCTCCGTTTGAAAGGACAGTAAGTAGACCTCGGGGCAGCTAGCATTGAGATCTACCCACTATCCTTCCATCAGAGCCAATCGGAGCTCGGCGTTCTGACGTCACTGCAACCCCAGCGCAAGAAACAGAACAACTTGCGCTCCGCATGACGAATCCTATAGGGAAAGTCCCCGTTACCAGAACACAACTTGTTTTAAGGCTATTAGGTCGATAACCAATTTTTAGAGCGCAGCTCCTAGGCGCCCGTTTCCGGTTGAGCAGGGTAACCACGCGTTCCATTATGGGAGGTTTCCAATAATGATTTCGCGCGTGACGTCACGTGTGACGTCACGAGGGTGACGTCACAAGGGTCACGAGGTTGACGTCACACGGATATACCCTCCCTCCGTACCCTCCCCTCGTCCTCCTCAAGAGCTGCGCTCTAATTCGGCATTACGAAGGATTGTAAACGTGTTTCATATTTTTTTAATCAAAACCGACCGAGGCCTTGCTTCATTGTAGAACACAGACAGTGATATTAGCCGTCTTGATGAAGCATCTGCAGTTTTTTTCTCATTACTTTACCGCTGGCGTTCTTTGGTATCACGTCAACGAATTCCACGCCTCCATGAAGGTGCATGTAGGTTCCAAGTTGGCCTGGGAAGAGATGGAAGAGCTCAGCATATTACGTACTCAGGTGACACTTTCTAGAACAAAGAAGAATATACATAACCGCTAATTACAACTTAAAAAAAATCTGAAGGCTTTTTGGGCACTGTTGGGTAAGGTACGTCTAAAAAGTGCTTAAAGTGCGAAGTAAACTAGTGGTCGTGCACTTCAAGAAATGTAGTAAATACACCAGGCACCTTGTACTGGAAGTAAAGTACTATAAATATAATGTACTTTCAAAGTTGAATGCAAGTACTTTTTAACAAAATCTTTCCTGATAGCATTTCATTCCCTCATACAAAGTTTTTTTTTTTTTGACTGGAATGCATTGTTTCAGGTAAAACGAGGGGCATCAGATATTTTTGGAAATGACGGCGAATATTGGATAAAGTTAAGTTGCCATAGAGTAGTTGATTTAGTCGCGCTTACGAACTATTTAACAGTAGCAACTTATAATGCACGTATTTGTATCGTGTAAAGACTCGGGGCTTGTCCAGGTAGTCGATCTCCGCTGGAGCCATGCGTCGCCCAGGACATCGGGCAGAGTTGGTAGCGAGCCAGGGTGTCTCTTCTCAAACTGTTTATTTACATACTATGTACAGTCTGCCGTTCGGCATGAGAACAACGTGAGAACACGAAGAGGGAGCGTAAACCCGCTCTTTTTATAATGTCCCCCTTCCCTACGTCCCTAGGCCAGGACGACGTTCCCCAACTGGTCAGGCACCGCCCACTCGCACGCACACGCACACACAGAGGATAAGTGCTCTTCCGGTTCCTCCAGGCTTGTATAGTGGCAGCCTTTCTTCAGTGACGCTTGAGATTTGGCCTTGCTCCTGGAATCTAGGTCGAGGTGACACCGAGAAGCTCATTCCCAAACGTCCGGGCACCGCCTATGAGCACGCCCAAACGGACACACCGGTTAATCCTTTTGTTGGCTCTAAGAGAGCACGAACGCCCGGAGGATACCGTCCCACTCCCTAGTCGGGACGGAGAAGACCTTGGACGCCGATATCCGGGCAGTTCCCGTTCACGGCTTATCTCCTTCTTTCGGCTTAGCAGGGATCACCGTGGCCGTTGGTTCCTGCTTGGACGCCTCAAAGAGAACGCATTTCCGTTTCAGCACCCAACTTGAGCCGGTATCGACGACGGCTTGTCTTTCTCTTTTGTCGACGGTACCAGGGCAGCGGGGAAAATAATCCCAGCTTGAGATTGTCAGCGAAAGGCGCGTCCTCGGGAATGTTACAAAAGGGGTGGCGATCCGCGCCCAGGTCCGGCCGCGAAGGTCGTTCGTTACAGCTCCTCCACGCAAAGGCAGATCTCGGAAGGGGAGGAGTATCAGCTGCTTTCCTGGAGAGATCAGCTTCGAAATCGTCGTGAGTAGCCAACACATCAACAGAGACACGAACCGCTACAACCAAATCCAGCGAGCGGCAGCACCCTCTCCCCAACCGCCAGGCCTTTTTTCTGCGGCAATAAACCTATCACTTTTTCTGCCATTGACACCACCAAGAAAAGCCCGCGATAGGGCAACATTGCACAAGGCGAAATCGCTGACATGTGTGAAGATTACAAAAAGTAAAAGAAAACGCAATGAAACTTCTTAAAATTTGGCCCAACTCGCAAGGCAACATCCAGAACAAACAATCTCAAAACGACCTGCTAAGTCCGTCTACGTTGGAGTTAGCCGCCCCCCTCTTGTACTTAACCGTGAAGGTTAATTCTTGTAAAGCCAAACTCCACCGCAGAAGTCGGGCATTTTTTGTCGACATTTGAGTTAGCCATGTCAAAGGACAGTGGTCGGTGACGAAAACGAACGGAGCTCCGTAAAGGTAACAAGAGAGCTTTTGAGTTGCCCAAATTAAGCCGGCGCATTCCTTTTCCGACGCACTGTAAGCCTCCTCTCGGCTGCTGAGTTTCCGGCTTGCGTACAGCACGGGGTGCTCCTCTCCCGCATCATCCTCCTGACATAAAATCACCCCCAAGCCGCGATTACTGGCATCGCACTGCACTATAAACGAGCGACTATAATCCGGGGCCCGAAGTATGGGGGAACAGCAGAGGGAATTTTTCAAGCCCTGGAAGGCCTGTTCTTTTTTGTCGTCCCATCGAATCTTATCGGGTTCGGTCTTCCGCAGCGCATCGGTTAGGGGGCTAGCCTTTTCTGAGTACTGAGGGATATAGCGTTGGTAATACCCCGTCAGCCTCAAAAAAGCCCTTATGCCAGTTTTTTTCTCAGGTCGCGGGAAGTCTTTTACAGCCTCAACCTTGAGTTCGTCGGGCCTTCTTAGCCCCTGACCCACGATATGGCCGAGGTATCTAACCTCGCCTCTCGCCAGCTGACACTTACTTGGTTTCGCGGTTAGACCCGCGCTCCTCAACCTTTCAAATACGTCAGAAAGGTGGTTCATGTGATCTGCCCAAGTTGTCGAAAAAATGGCGATGTCGTCTAGATACGGTAGCGCGTAGCTTTCCGCCCCACGCAAAATTCTGTCCATCATTCGCGAGAAACAGAACGGAGCGTTTTTAAGGCCGAAGCTCAAAACCAACGGGCGGAATGTGCCCGTTGGGGTCACGAAGGCTGCGTAATGGCTAGCTCTTTCCGTCATCGGGACCTGCCAGTATCCGCGCACTAGGTCTAAAGTCGAAACGTATCTAGCCCCACTAACCGTCTCAACTCTTTCCTCCACGTTGGGAATCGGGTAAGCCTGGTCTCTGGTGATTGCATTGAGTTTGCGATAGTCAATGCATGGTCGGGGATCCCTTCCCGCAGCCTCTACGATGATCATAGGGGAAGAGTACTCACTTTCACACGGAACGATTACCCCTAAGTGCAGCATGCGCTCCACCTCGTCTTTTAAGATAGCCTGCTGCCTTGGTGACATGCGATAGGGACGGGATCGTACCGCGACGTTTGATGTTAGCTCAATGTCATGCGTGGCAAGGGAGGTTCGTCCGGGAGACATTGAGAACAAGTTCTCGTACTTTTCCAGAAGATCTCTCAATTCAGCCCGCTGTGAGACCGAAAGATCCTCCGAACGAACCGCCTGAGCCATGACTTCATTTACTCCGACCGGCGCTCCAGCCTCCCAAAGTAGCGGAACATCAGTCTGAACTTCCTCTGGGGCGTTTAGTGTCAAGTTCACCACTTCCGTTTCGCTCACGTAACGCTTCATCAGATTGCAGTGATAGATTCTGATTTCCTTTCTCTTGCCTCTGGTTTCGATTGCGTAGTTAGTATCCGACAGCTTTTGAGTCACCTTGAATGGTCCCTCCCACTGCACCTGTAGCTTATTTTGGCGTGAGGGACGAAGCAAGAGGACTTGATCGCCCGCCCGGTACTCCCGGACACGGGCGTTTCGGTCGTAATACCGTTTCGCTCTGATCTGGGCCTCGCGCATATTAACCTCCGCTATCTCACTCGTGCTTCGGAATCGCTCTAGCAGATCAAGAATGTACTCTACCACACTCGGATCGGATCCCTTGGTCTCCCAAGTTTCGCGGAGCAGCCGCAGGGGAGTCCGCAAACACCGTCCATACACTAGTTCGGCCGGGCTGAAGCCGGTTGCCTCGTGAGTCACGGAGCGCAGCGCGAACAACATTGCCGGCAGGCAGGCGTCCCATTCGTTCCCACTCTCATAAGTTAGCGCCCTCAGAACCCGCTTCATAACTGAGTGACACCTCTCGACACTGTTTGACTGCGGGTGATATACTGAACTGTGTATAACCTTTATACCGCACCTCTCGAGGAAACCAGTAGTCAAAGCGCTTGTGAAAACGCTCCCTTGGTCGCTCTGGACCTCTTGGGGGAAGCCTACCCTCGCAAAAATTGACAGAAGTGCGTTAACCACCTCCACTGAACTCTGTTCCTTCATGGGGACCGCTTCGGGGAACTTGGTAGCCGCGCACATGACCGTTAGAGCATAGCGGTACCCCCCCTTAGTAGCCGGAAGAGGACCCACCACATCAATGACCACCCGCCTGAATGGCTCCGAGATTATCGGCACAAGTCTCAGGGGCGCCTTGCATTTTTCATTGGGTTTTCCCACTCTCTGACAGACATCGCACGCCCGCACCCGAGACTCGGCATCTCGGAAGCATCCCGGCCAGTAGAATTCCGTGAGGAGCCGATCTTTCGTCTTTTTGTTGCCCAAGTGACCGGACCATCCCGCTCCGTGGCACAGGCGCAACACATCCGCTCGATATTTCTCCGGCACTACCAGCTGATCGAACGTGCGACCCGACCGATCTCGGTAGTGTCGGTACAGCACACCATCACGGACAGGAAATGAAACGTTTTTCCTGGCCACGCCCTCCTTGGAGGTTTCCCACACCTTATCTAGACTAGGATCAGCTTTTTGCTCCTTGATCAGAACTTCCTTCGTTACGGACACGAGTTTCTCAAAGTTTCCCGACGTCGGGGGCAATATTAACTCGTCCAGTTCGGTTAGCTGCTCTTGGCGAGTTTCTTTTTCGACCGCGACGTTTTCCTCACTCCCCCGGTCTTTCTCTGCTTCCCCGGAACTGGTTTGCTCCGAGACCCCCGTCGGCGGATCCTTCGGTTTTCCTGGGCTAGCCTCGTCATAACTGAGCCGCGTGGAAATCTCGCGAGCTTTAGCCCTCGTGAGCGCTTGAACGAGTCCCTCCCCGAGGCTCTTGCCCTGTTCTTTCAAAATCCTGTCTGTTCGGTTCGAAAATAGGTAGGGGTACTGTGGCGGCAGTTTGTCTGAAACAGCCGCCTCAGTACGCACCTCTCCGAATGGTCCAGAAATCAGAACATCGGCCACAGGGAGACACACGCTCCCCTCGTCCAGCACCGACTTGATCCAGCTACATTTCCCATTGTAATGGGTCTCAGTAACGTACGACGGGTGAATTAGGTCAATGGTAGCCCCACTGTCGCGCAACACGCGGCACGACTTTCCGTTCACTGTCATGTCGAAAAGATACGGACTCAGGAGCTCCTCATTCTCCTCGCACTTACTCGCTAAGGCGAAAACCACCTTTGGTTTTTGACATCCCGCGGCAATGTGCCCAGTTTCATGGCAATTGAAGCACCTTATCGGCCTCCTGGCCTCAAAGGGTTTCTTCTTTTGCTGACTGTCTGGCCCGTTGCCCCGGGAGGTCGTGGAGATATTCTCCTCCTTGTCTTCCTCCTTTCGCGACTCTGTTCTTTTCCAGCCCCCTTTTTTCCGCTCATCTCCGCTTTCCTTCTCAAAGGTTCTCCTCATTCCCTCTTTTCCGCCTCTACGGGAACTGTACTCATCCGCAAGGTCTGCGGCTCGATAAACAGAGTCTACTCCTGACTTATCTTGAATCCAGGTTCGCATGCTTTCAGGAAGAGTCTTATAGAACTGTTCGAGCGCGACCGTCTCCAGCATTTTCTCTTTGTCGTCATACGACTCGGCGACCTTCATCCATTCGACAAGGTACGACCGAAGTTCGTATGCGAACTCCGCATAACTGGCTTCCGACTTTTTGGTCACGCCCCTGAACTTCTGTCTGAACGCTTCTGCCGACAACCGATACTTCTTGAGCAGGCAGCTCTTCACGCGGTCGTAGTCGTCCGAGTCGTCCGCGGATAACCTCGCGATTACCCCGGCTGCCTCGCATGGCAGAACACTCAGCAACCTTCTGGCCCAAGATACCCGATTAAAACGGGCCCTCTCGCAAGCTCTCTCGAAGTTTACCAGGTAGAGGCCCATGTCCTGTCCCACCTTGAAAGCCTGAATAAGCTTCGTCATGTCATAGAGACTTCGGGTGCCCTCTACCTCCGATTCCCGTCCTCCGCTCACTTTCCTTAGCTCCACCTCGAGACGAAGTTTTTCTAGTTCTAATTCCTTGAATTTTGCTTCGTCTCCTTTTTTTGTTTTGATTTTTTCCCACATCTCTTCGATTTCCTCGTTGTCAAGTTTTTCGTCCTGGATAGCCTTAACAAGCTCCGGTTTTTTCATCGATGTGTTCGCGTCTACCCCGAGCTCCTCACACAAGTCGAGCAACTGACACTTTAGCAAACGCTGCAGATCCATGTCTGTGACCTATCTGGGTGGCAAAACTCTGCACTACCGACACACAACAACCTTAAAATTGCCTTTTCGGTAGTTACTTACGCCCCTGCAAAATACACCTCGATCTTACAGGCCTGGCGACAGAGAAAAGATGCCGTCACTCACCAGACTCGGCTCACGGCCCATGAGATCCGTTGTTGCTGCCGCTCAATGGTCGTAGCTGTCGATCCCACCGTCCGCCATCCAGTTGTAAAGACTCGGGGCTTGTCCAGGTAGTCGATCTCCGCTGGAGCCATGCGTCGCCCAGGACATCGGGCAGAGTTGGTAGCGAGCCAGGGTGTCTCTTCTCAAACTGTTTATTTACATACTATGTACAGTCTGCCGTTCGGCATGAGAACAACGTGAGAACACGAAGAGGGAGCGTAAACCCGCTCTTTTTATAATGTCCCCCTTCCCTACGTCCCTAGGCCAGGACGACGTTCCCCAACTGGTCAGGCACCGCCCACTCGCACGCACACGCACACACAGAGGATAAGTGCTCTTCCGGTTCCTCCAGGCTTGTATAGTGGCAGCCTTTCTTCAGTGACGCTTGAGATTTGGCCTTGCTCCTGGAATCTAGGTCGAGGTGACACCGAGAAGCTCATTCCCAAACGTCCGGGCACCGCCTATGAGCACGCCCAAACGGACACACCGGTTAATCCTTTTGTTGGCTCTAAGAGAGCACGAACGCCCGGAGGATACCGTCCCACTCCCTAGTCGGGACGGAGAAGACCTTGGACGCCGATATCCGGGCAGTTCCCGTTCACGGCTTATCTCCTTCTTTCGGCTTAGCAGGGATCACCGTGGCCGTTGGTTCCTGCTTGGACGCCTCAAAGAGAACGCATTTCCGTTTCAGCACCCAACTTGAGCCGGTATCGACGACGGCTTGTCTTTCTCTTTTGTCGACGGTACCAGGGCAGCGGGGAAAATAATCCCAGCTTGAGATTGTCAGCGAAAGGCGCGTCCTCGGGAATGTTACAAAAGGGGTGGCGATCCGCGCCCAGGTCCGGCCGCGAAGGTCGTTCGTTACAATCGGTCATATAGCCGCCATTACTTCACTCAGGGAAATGACCAGATGAATATCTCGAAAGACGATAGCGCAGTTTCGCATAACGATATGTTTTTTTTTTATTATTATTTTTTTTTCTTCAAATTTTGGCGGTATACTTTGAAGTCGGCAGTTGAGCTTTCCACGGAAAGTACTAGAAAATAGTACTTTTAAGTTGAGTACAAGTACACAAATTCAGAGAACGTACTACAAGTAAAGGACAAGTTTTCTGAACCTGCTTGAAGTGGTACTTTAAGTACAATGCATTCGAAGAACTTCCCAATTAAACTGTAATCGGTTTTGAAAAAATTCGTATAATTAAACCAACAAACTGAGTGCAATTAAACTTCTTGGAAAGGTGCCTTTAGGGGGTGCATTGTATCGTATGTCATGTTGCAGCAGCCGAGCTAGTGGTGTTACCGAAACGATAAAAAAGAAGCCTGTCGGCGCAAGCAGACAGAACGGGACACCACGAGCAACCAGATTCGGCGACCGAGAAGGCCGGCGGCTACATCGAATGATGTCCACTACAGTTTCCTTTCTTTTGTAAATATTTTCCATAAAATATGTTAGGTCCTATATTAGCGGAATCAGGATTCCCGCTAACTTTAGCAGAGAACCTGAATTGGTGCATAGGTCAGTCAAGGCAATTTCCCGGTAAATATAGAGGGGGAACATTATTCCACTAAATTTAGCGGGAACCTGAATTGGTGCATAGGCTACGTGTGGTTGTCAATTTTCCACTAAATTCAGCGGGGAACCTGATTCCACTAAATTTAGCGGGGAACTTGAATTGTTGCATTGGTCACGTGAAGTCAATTTTCCGCTAAATTTAGCGGGAATCCTGATTCTGCTAACTTTAGCAGAGAACCTGAATTGGTGCATAGGTCACGTCAAGGCAATTTCCCGCTAAATATAAAGGGGAACCTTATTCCACTAAATTTAGCGGGAACCTGAATTGGTGCATAGGCCACGTGTGGTGGTCAATTTTCCGCTAAATTCAGCGGGGAACCTGATCCCGCTAAATTTAGCGGGGAACTTGAATTGGTGTATAGGTCTCGTGAAGTCAATTTTCCGCTAAATTTAGCGGGAATCCTGATTCCGCTAACTTTAGCAGAGAACCTGAATTGGTGCATAGGTCAGTCAAGGCATTTTCTCGCTAAATATAGAGGGGAACATTATTCCACTAAATTTAGCGGGAGTCTGAATTGGTGCAGAGGCCACGTGTGGTGGTCAATTTCCGCTAAATTCAGCGGGGAACCTGGTTCCACTAAATTTAGCGGGGAACTTGAATTGGTGCATAGGTCACGTGAAGTCAATTTTCCGCTAAATTTAGCGGAAATCCTGATTCCACTAACTTTAGCAGAGAACCTGAATCGGTGCATAAGTCACGTCAAGGCAATTTCCCGGTAAATATAGAGGGGAACCTTATTCCACTAAATTTAGCGGGTACCTGAATTGGTGTATAGGCCACGTGTGGTGGTCAATTTTCCTCTAAATTCAGTGGGGAACCTGATCCCGCTAAATTTAGCGGGGAACTTGAATTGGTGCAAAGGGTCACGTGAAGTAAATTTTCCGCTGAATTTAGCGGGAGTTCTGATTCCGCTAACATTAGCAGACAACCTGAATTGGTGCATAGGTCACGTGTGGTCAATCTTCCGCTAAATTTAGCAGGAAACTCAGTTCCGCTAAATTTAAAGTGAAACCTGAATTTGTGCATAGGTCACGCGAAGTCAATTTTCCGCTAAATTTAACGGAAATATGACTACATTAGAGATGACATACATAGACAGAAATCTGTGATTAGCTTAAAGATGGTATCGCATTAAAATGGTAATGTTTTTTTTTTTTTCGAGATTGCATTGTTTTTAGTTTATTTCAGCGCAGAGTTATGCATAAAAAAAAAACGAGTTTTTGAAGATGTCGCTTTTAAATGAAAATGGTCCCTGATTTCTGTTGTGTGATCCCGTCTGTGTGGAATGTAGGGAGTTTGAAGTAAGTATTTTGTTTTCTCGACACCCTATTGTTCATAAAAGATTATGTGGAGATGTTTTAGGCGGAAGCATTGGCGACGAGTTTGCAAAGGCTTCCAATCGAAAAAGAAACCCCGAACAGCTAAAATATTTCTACTTAATTTTGCATTGAATTTTGTTGTGTGTAATTCTCCACTTCGTATGCCTAAAATATGCTCATGGTGCAAAATTAAAAAAAAAAAAAAAAAAATAAGAATAAAAGAAATGTCGAGATTGAGATTTACCTGCAACGAAGTTTTGGAGCTCTGCCTCGGTGATTTTGTTACAAGGTTTCTTCAACACAACATACGCCATGGCCGCTTCCTGGTATCGTGCGTGAGGGACACCAATGACCACTGCCTCTTCGATTCCGTCGTGGCTGAGCAACACGCTTTCAATGGAGCAGGGCGCCACTGAGATGCCCATGCATCGAAAGAACTGGCTCATTCTTTCAACGTAGAAGAACTGACCGACTTCGTTGTAATAGCAGATGTCACCTGGAAATTAGCGTGTAGTCGTCATCTCTGGCTCAAAGTCCAGTTCACGAGCTGGTGTAAAGTCAAGCTAAATCAATAAGAAAGAGACGCACGCTCTCCGAAGAATAGCTGCTCACTTGACAAGGGTCGAAATATCCGAATAAGAAAGAACGAGAATGCTCGAAAACCTTTAATATACTCTCAGACAATCTTTCTGTGGTCATGCAGTCGAATGGCACGGTGCTTGAGCAACGAGCCTTGAAGACAAGGCCTTTGTCCCCAAACGTTATCACTATGCGGAGTGCAAGTTCGTCTGCTTCTAGCGCTGGGGTTGCAGTGACGTCAGAAGGACGCCGAACTCTGATAGGTTCTGACTGAAGGATAGTCGGTAGACCTCAATACCAGCTGCCTTGAGGTCTACCCTCAAGGCTGCCAGCAGAATGCCAATAAGAGCACGGCATTCTGACATCATGGCAACCCTTGTGCAAGAAGGAGACGAATTTGCGGTCCGCAGTGCTTTCACCCGTATGTTGCTATGGTGACTGATACACGATCGCACGCTTTGAACAGCAGCCATGGTGGTAGACGTTCAAGGGGGTGCATGGAAAGAGGTCTTTGAGTATGCTATGCAGCCGCCACGGAGCTTGTCTGATCCAGTAATATCTCTAAATTTTAAATGAATAATAATACTAATAATAATCAAGAATCAAGAATAGTTTTTATTTGCACCCAGGAACAACCTTGCGGTTTTGGTGCTGGCGCACGTAAAAAAAGAACAAAAACACACACACACACAAAAAGAAAAAAAAAAGAAAGAAAAACAAACACGGAAGACAGTTTTACATAAAATTCTACAAAAAAGAAGACGCGAGAACTGTGTACACAAAATTGTACAAAAAAACAAAACAAAAAAGTGCACAAAAATTGCACAGAGAAATGAAGACTCGAAAAAAATTGTTCCAATACATATGGATGCTTCACTTGGACGCAAACAGACGCGGACGTCTGAACGCTACACATAAAGCTCCGTACAAATAGAAACAAGAAATCAACAAGTCATAGAAATACATATGGAAACCCGGCAGTTGATTCAGGAAGTTCATCAAAAGTCACAAAAGAGCTTCTGGACAGATTTAACAACATCGGAAAAGTTGTCAAGAAATATATCGAGATTAAGAGAAGAGTTATTATAAAGGAGTTCCGCACGAGATACTGGATCAAGTGTATTAACTCTAGATGACAGATAGAAGGTTAACGTTTTTCTTGTCGTCACTCGCGGTACCTGCAGAGAAACCTGATGCAGGATGTCGGAGCTATCTATTTGACCATGTATACATTTATAAAGAAAGAGCAGCTCCGCAGTGTTTCGGCGTCCCTGCAAGTCTTGCAGTCGAATGGGTGAACTATGCTCGTCATCAACTGCTTTTGCAAAGTTGAAACGGTGTTTAAAAATAGATACGAATTTCTCTTGTACACGAGAAATCCTCAATAGATTAGAGTGGCACGTCCCACACAACAGATGCATACTCAAGGTGAGAACGACACAGGGAACAATATAAGGTTAAAAATGTTTTAGAGTCACGAAATTCTCGTGATACACGACACACAAGACCTAGGGTGCGCAGCGCAGACTTCACAATATGCATAACATGACCCTGGAAACGCAAAGCAGAGTCAAATACAACACCAAGATCTCTGATTTTGCCAACGCGGGATAGTTGATTAGTGTTAATTTTGTAGTTAAATGGTACTGTGGCAGTTTTTCTAGAGTAGGTCATGACTTTTGTTTTGGACTGGTTGATCTTCAGGTGATTACGTGAGCACCAGTCAACAAACGAGGTTATATCAGACTGTAAATCCATGCAGTCAGGTTCGCCGCCTATTTCTCTAAATATTTTTATATCGTCTGCATATAGCAAGAAAGAAGACGTGGTGATGGCGCTTGCGACGTCATTCACGAAAACAGAAAATAGCAACGGGCCCAGTACGGAACCCTGTGGTACACCCGAAGTTGCGTTATACGTGGAGGAGCAAGACCCGTTCGCACGCACATAACAAACCCTTTCCCTTAGGTAGTCCTCCAGAAGACAGTATATCGGACCGCAAAGACCAACTGCAGAGAGCTTAGATAAAAGTATACTGTGGTTTACAATGTCGAAGGCCTTGCTACAATCAAAGTATATAACGCCAAGTTGACCTCTGTCGCACACAACCTTAGACGTAGCAGTCGCGAATGCTACAAGATTTGTCGTCGTTGAACGACCAGCGAAAAAACCGTGCTGGTTGGTACTTATCGTGCTTTGAAGTGAAAAAGACAGACCTGTGGATGACCTTCTCAAAGAGCTAATAATAATAATAATAATAATAATAATAATAATAATAATAATAATAATAATAATAATACTAATGTTTATTTTACATTAAAAATAGTGGGAAAATTAGGGAAAAAGAAAGAAAAGCTTCAAATTGAAGCTTGACTCGTTCTCAGATATACAGCCATTGATGAGCAAACAGATCTTAATGAAAAACAAACGCGCACAAAAATACCAATTTATACAATGAGCAAAGCAACATGAAACATCGTTACAAGAAGACTAACCGCGCAAGAACAACAAGAAAAAATTACGTTCCATCGCGTAATTTCGTAGATCTATATAGTATTGGTGTTTCTAAGGCGCTTTAAAGCCAAGGGACAAAATAATAAAGCCTTTGCAACAAATGATTCGATCTGAATGGGATAGTCCTTTAATATTCATTGCGACGGGTAAATTGGAATAAATTATTTTGTTGGATACGACTATTTTGGTTTAAAAAAAAATTAGAGTTCCATTTCTGTGTTCGAAATCACAACCACGAAGGAGATACGCTTGTTTTTCTTATAAGATGCGCGTGAAATTTCTGAACTGAATCCTCAATGTGACAGGGCCTTAAGCGTTGGCAACCGCCTCGCGGGTGCGGTTCAACCGCCTGTGTGAATAGGCAGTTTTAGGAGACCGCGTCACCACATTCTGCTATGGCCACAGTACGACTCCTGACCTGCTCTAAAGAGCATTCTTCGAAGTGACAGCGCGAGCTCGCAGTAGCAATGCGCGGCACGGCAACGCTATGCCGAAACGGCCTAACGCGGCATTAGGGGTTTCGTGTCCACGGATGTACCCTTGATGGCGTCACTGCGTCACCTGACACTGAGACGCCATCAGAAAGGTGTGCGGAATGCGTAGCATTTATAGGTACTCTCTGGAAGGTCACGTGACACCGACGTCACACCGTGGTGTTTCTTGACTCTCTGACGTGAGACCGTGATGTCCCGTAGCACCATGACGTCAAACGACGTCACAGAGTCACGTGACAATGGCGGCTTTATATGTTCCCAAAACCCTCATAACGTGCTATTCAGCGGTCTCCTTACTTTACCGCAAAACGAGGGGTGCTAATGATTTTTGGAAATGCAGAAGAGAAAGCTAATTTTTGTCTGATTCATTAACAAGAACAGTCGCCATCCCCTACCTGTTCGTACCCAACCATCGGGAGTAATTTTCTGCGATGTAGCTTCCGGGTGTCCGTAATAGCCCTTCATGGAACATGGCGTCTTCACTAGCACTTCTCCTTGTTCGTTTGGTCCAAGTACGTTTCCACTCTTCACATCAACAACCTGTTGACAAGCCGATATCAATTGTGGCCAGGATATCGACACTGGAGAAACGATATCAATAGTTGCGAGCTGAAATTGGACTATCCGCACACCTCTTGTACTCATCACTAAATGGAACCAAATTTACCTTAACATGTACCATTGGGGACGGGAACCCAATGCCGTACCAACTGGTCGCGCCCAAAGGGGGTGTGCATATCTGTCCGATTTCCGTAGCTCCGTAAGTGTCTTTGACGATGGCCAGATCAAACGACCGTTCGATTTTCCTCAAAATTTGGGGCGTGGCCTTTGCTCCACACAGAAAAACAGTCGTTAGACTATCCAGCTGAATTCCCCGCTTCTCAATCGCCTTGGCAAGCAGCACAATCCAATGTAGACCCCCGAACATCGTAGTCACCTGCGCCAAGATGAGGGGAGAGGGATTCGAATCATGAGGTGGTTGCGCAAATTGTATTCCGGAGGGAGCTCGCTTTCCGTAGCGGCGAAGTGAATTGTAAACACGCGGGTCTCGGCGCACACTACTTTATTCACATTAAAATGTTTTGCACTTTATGGTCATACTGGTAATACATCGTACGAACTATACAGTCCGCATAACACTGTCTGAGGTGTCTTTTTTGCTTGTACTGTAACACTGGTCATAAAAACACTTTCTACAGACACGGTCGAAGCATGCGTATGTATGACACCAAACATGCTTCAACATGCATGGGGCGCGTATCCACAGATATTTTTGAAAAATATCTGTGGATACGCGCCCCTTGCATGTTGAAGCATGTTTGGTGTCATACATACGCACCGTGTCTGTATGTAAACTGTGAACGGCCGTGTCTTTTGTAGGCATGTATATGAGCTTTGTGACCGGTGGAAAAAAAAAAAGCTGTTCCAAAAACCTACACCAGTTTTCGAGTAATGTACTTTTTTTTAGTCGTAAGGTAGGATGCCGTACCATTAAATATTCCTCATTTTCGAAGGGTATAAGATGGTGTGAAAAAGAACGCTACGGTACGAAGTGAGGCGAACGCCCCTCCTCAAGGGAGTTCGCAGCACTATCCCCCGCTTTAAAAATGCTTTAGCGGAGGTTGTCTTAGCGATAATGTCGAATAATTATTTCATGTGCCAATGCTCATTACTTGGAAATACCTTCCTTGAACCTGAACTAGTATACTATTCTTTGCGTGATACATTGAGGAACAAAAACAACAAACAGCGTGATTCCCTCACCCCCCCTAAAAAATTAGTGCTTTTTTTTTTTTTTTTTCAACGCAAAAAGAAACTATGCATCGCCGAACCCTCAATCTCCGCTCAAATGCAGCACCTGCGGTTCGAAGCAGATGCCAAAGTTTCAGCACTAACCGTTGCCTTATTCGAAAGCTACAAGTTATTTTCGAAAAATTCCAGCGGAAAAAATTAGGCTGATGTTTTACCGTTTTCGGTTACTGGCGCTCCACAGTGTATTCGAGAGCTCAGTCGGCCGCCGTTTTCTCATTAAAAAAAAAAACAAAAAAAACAATTTATAGCTTTTGAATAAGAAAACGGTGAGTGCTAAAAGGTAATTTTGCTGCGATTGCTAAGCTTGCTGATGATTGTCTGTGCTTTCCCTTGTGTTTTCCTATCGAGCCCTATTCACACAGTTGCAAAAAAATCCGGTATAACTTTTTGCTATCCGGATTATGGAACCGGAAATCTATCTGGATTCTATCTAGACTCTATCTGGAATTTAGCTTTTTAGACATTATTTCTTTCTCTGCAATCTGGATTTCGGGTTTCCAGAAACAAATTTCCGGTTCCAGAATTCGGATAGTGAAAAGTTACACCGAATTTTTCGGTAGGGTAATGTTTAATTTACTTTTAAACAGTCAACTTTTCGCATAAGTTACAACGGCCGATCGTTGTAAAGGTAGTTCATCATTAATAGACACAACTTAATAAATAAAGTGAATAAAGTTAAAGAATTTATATGCTAATAAAAACCCTTTGGCCTGGCAGACTCGGCGTCCCTTTGCGCCGATGTATACGACTCATCAACACACATTTCATACCTGATCTTCAACGACCTTTCATCGACATGCCTGCGATTTTCCAACAAAACATGATCGCATCGCCGTCCATGTGTGACGGTGATGGCAGCGATGTTTTGTCGCGCGGAAAATGAGACAAAATTACTTGTGCGAGTTAGCTCACAGATTCCCGCATATGCTGCATCGGTAAGCACACCACTGGGCCTTTTGGAAGAATTTAGTTTTGCACGGCAACACCAAAAACTATTTTACAAGAAAGTAAAATCTCACAACTAACAGCGCAGGTTCATTCCGAAACCGGAAAGCGTTTTGGCAACGAGGTGCCCGGATGAGGGAAATCCGGAAGTCGCCAAAAATGGACGGACAGAACGAGCGGGTTGGTAGGGATAATTAAACTTGAAAACTTCTCGTTTTCTTCTTGAGTAAGAAAACCTCGTTTTCCTCCTCAAGTTTAATTATCGCCAAAAATGTGTGCTTACATTTGCGAAATTTTATATATGAAACTATTTAGACCTCCTTAAATTTAGTCAAATCCTTGTCTGCCTACATTGCTGCAATTTTAAATTGTTCAACTCGGCGTTATTTCGAGTACATTTTTTTTTTGTTTTCTTTGGGACGTATAAGTTTTAAAATGACTTTTTTTAATATACAATTTTTTTACTAATTGCTGGTGAGGTACTATCGACTGAAAAATCGCGTGACTAAATATCACGCAGCCCTCTTAATGTATGAAATATAATGCGAGTGTCATACATACCTTGTATTTCCTAAGTGCATCTACCATTTTGTCTGCGTCCGTAGATTTCGATAAAAGGACAGTCTTCGCTCCAGAGGTGATGCCTCGCAGGTAAAACCGAAACGCAAAAGTCGATGTTATAGACATGCAGGAAGCAACAACATCGTGGTCGCTGGACACTTGATGACACCTTGACATTTTGAAGGAAAAAAAGAACACACACAAAAAAACGACGGTTTAAGAAAGAGACACCACCATCACGTCCCAGTTTTCTCTACTATACGTACCTACTTGACCCTTAATTGACGCCACGACAGCGTGGAGACGCTGCTATCGGCACTGGGCATGCACAGTCGGTTCACCTCACGCGAATCTGACTTCTGCGCACGCGCAATGCCCACAGTTGGCGTGAGCAGACGCGGGTTTGTTTGTTCTTGGTGGATATTGTTCGTTAGGCACTGTGTATTTTGCAGGGTGTCCCAAAAGAAAATTTACAAGATTATATATATATATATATATATTTTTTTTTTATCGCAACAATAACGCATTGACGAACGCATGCATTTTCCCCCCAAATGTAGCGCTCTAGCGGTCCGAACCATTTGCCAAAATCTCAGCACTCACCGTCTTACTAGTCAAAAGTTGTACGTGATTTTCTGAAATTTCCAATGGGAAAATGGTGACCGACAGAGCTCTGAAGATATACATGGAGCTGAATGGCGCCAGTTAACGAAAGCGGGGAAAATGGGCCCTCATTACCCGAGGGAAATTTTTAGAACATCACTTATAACTTTTGAATAAGATAACGGTTAGTGCTGAAGAACCCTTGGCGTCTAATTCGGACCGCTTGCGCTACATTTTGGCAGATAATGAGCGTCCGGCGATGCGTTGTTTATTCTTGTGGAGAACAAAAAGAAAAGAAAAACACTCTTTTTTAGGGGCGGGGGGGTGTACAATATTGTTTGTTGCTGGAGGTTTGCAAGTACTGCCTCTGGGCGCCTCCACCTTCCTGCTTGGCGTGACGGTTGCCAGAGTGGCGCCAAACAAACCACTTTCCATCTAGGGTGGCCAGACTAGCTTTTGAAGCGTGGCAACTCGCAAGCGTGAGTAGAGTTCACGCTCCGCCAATAACACCAAGAACATAAAACCTGCGCCTCCTCCACCCCCTCCCCTACGTCATCACTACAGTGGATGCACGCAGCGCCGCGTAGTCTGAGTCAGCATCGTCGCCAGGGCACCAGCGTGTCTCGCAGCGTCTCCCTACGAGGCGACGCCAAAAACGAACGCTCGTCTGCTAGTTTGGCGGCGCTTCTCATTGAACTTCGGCGTGTTTGCCGCTTGGGGGCAGGTCGGGGGTGATCTACAAATGGTGAGGTCATGCGAAGGCTGTGTCTTCTAGGTGGTATTGGCTCCGCCCACAGGCGTATGCACTGGGGCTGCGACGATCTCACAAGGCCAAACCCTTATTGGCTGATTAAAAAAAATAGTGGGTAGACTTTAAAGCGTTTATGGAATCCAGGTCTACCCACTATCCTTTCAATCAAAGCCAATCAGAGCTCGGCGTCGTTTTGACGTCACAGCAACTCCTGCGCAACAAGCAGACGACTTGCTCTTCGCATAGTGTGCTCGCCTCCAGTTACTCCACTTTCGAGAAAATAGTACGTCGTCTGCTCCGCGACTTATAACGACAGCTTTGCGACGTCGGTACCAAGAGCGAGCAAACGAAGCGAAGTTCGCTGCCGATAGAGCGGGACGATATCGTGAGTGAGCAAAACGCGCACGCACAAAAGAAAGCGCAGGAACATTTGCTGCGCGGTATTGGTTTAGACGGTTACAGTAAGCGCACAAAGGCGATGAGCGCCGTGACAATGCACTTTTGGCGCTATGCTTGATTGGCTGTATCGGATCGCGGCATCGGCTGCGGTAGGATTTATCGCGAAACCTACGTTACTAAAACCCTCAGTTGGGAAGCTCACCCTTGGAACCTGGGGCGCTGGCGTCCGCCGAGACCAAGCTGAATACGATAACAGCGCCACCCTTTAGTGACGAGTTGAAACATGAAAGTTGCTTTACATAGCTACTGCGAGATGACCCTGCGAGATGGCGCCACCGGCCAAGGAGGTTATAAGTACTAGGAGAGGGCACGTTGCAATATTGGTGAAGCCTAGTCATAAAAAGTTTAAACGATATTCTGCCCAGCGTGACCACAGATCTCTCTGACGATTGGTGCGCGTGACACGTCATGTGTGAGTTTGATGGTTGATTGTAGGAGGATTCCTTGCAACCTTGCGCGCGCTCCGATCGGTAGGTTTTATCATATCGTAGGGTAGACCACGGTGTAAGATACACTTTTTAGGTGAGGACACGGCGGGGCTGAACGCGCGGCGCGAGGAATCAGATAGTGTTCGTTCGACGGGCATCCGAAAGGCTGCATGATTCCGCTGCCACCATGCCCGCGGCTGACAGTGTCGCCGGCGGCCAAACGGCGAAACTGTGTGAGAGCGAAAAAAATGATCTCGTTGCCACGACACCCCGGTGCACCGTGGTCTTTCAGCACGTGCGACAACCTCGCTGGAGTTCTGCGCGTGTGGAGCACGAGGCGGCACGAGCCGTCTTACACCGTGCCCACTGGTCGACGAGTCATCTGCCGGCGCCGCTTGAAACCATAGTGAGAGAGAGAAAGAGAGAGGGTGAAAAGCGAACTTTATTTGCCCTGCGCGAGGAGCGCACTGTCCTCACCTGAAGAGTATTTATTATCTTACACCGTGGGCTAGACGAAGGATAGCTACGGTCACGTGATATGGTCATGTTGGGCTGATAAGTTCAATTCAATTCAATTCAACTTTATTGACTCCAGTTTGGAGAAGGAGACAGGAAAAAAAGCTACATTGCGTAGCTTGACAAGTCCCTGCCTCCCATACAGACTTCGGCAAATTAGTCGGCACTTGCAAAAGAAAAAATAAAAATACATACAGAACATTATACAGCTTTTGATGTGCTGAACAGCACAGAACTTTTAAAGTATTATTTGTTATTAAAATACAATTGTCTAATTTGGTTATTTGACATATTTTCTATGTGAATATTGTTTTTTATGAGTTCATTAATGGTAGACGGTACGGTATACTGGAGAATTTGAAATCCGTAATTGGTTCTGGGATGCGGCACTCTCCAGTGCTCTGGACTACGCGTATGATAAAACGAAGAGTTTTCTTCCAGCGAAGCTAAAGAAAGGAATGATTTGTTATTATAATAAATACTATCTTTATATTTCTTTATTATGTCTGTGTATATAAGTCAAAAATACTTGTTACCTTAAATTTTGAGAATAAAATACCGGCATGACTACCATATGGTACATTGGCTACTAAACGTAAGATCTTTTTTTGTGCGATATGTAATCTGTCTATGTTTAATTTTGTCGTATTGCCCCATACAAGTTGGCAGTACTTTAAATGTGAAGCAAACAATGCGTTATATAATATAATCTTGACCCTTTCTGGTAAACAAAAACGATGTTTATAAATAATACCCGTTATTTTTGATACTTTAGACATAACATGTTCTACGTGTTCGTTCCAACTCATGTATTGGTTAAAGGAGCTGTGCAACGATATTCAATTGGAATGTTTTTCTCTCTACACGAGCTTACTGGCACACCTGGGACTCAAGGATACTCACACGCAACGCCATTGGCCAAGAAACTCCTTTGTTGCGGTGTAATTTCAAGGACAAAAGCGATCATTTTCATTCAATCTCTCCTTTGCAAAATTTGATGACGTAACTCGGGGATCGCAGTACACCCAAGTGACGATATTTGAATGCGGTTCATAGATTGGACCCGAGCATTGCGTGGGCACTCGACTTGGGCTCGTGACAATTGCTAGCTCGAGAAGCATTCGGGTTGTGACCCGTGTCCAATCGCTGCAACGACGACAACAGCCGAGCCATAACAATGTCTGGAACTCAGCGCGTGTCCTGCGCTTTGCCAACCCCAGCGCGTGGCTATGATCAACACTGGCGGCATATAATCGGCTCCAGATCACGTGGCCGCTTGTTCTGGCTGCGAGTTGAGGGGGTGAACGCTGCTCGTTTTTCTTAAATTTTTTTCTGGGGCTTCTGTTGCGTGGGGTGAAAAACGAACGCGTGTTTCATAGGTCATTAACGTTAGGGATCCGTTTTAAGCGGTATTTGCGCAAAGTACAAAAATTGTTGCGTAGCTCCTTTTAAAGAACACCCCCAGTATTTTTACCGTTGGAACAACTTGTATGGTTGATCTATCTAGCTTAAGTGGTATATCTATTTGCCAGACAGAGCTTTTAGGACGAAATAGAACGGCCTTTGTTTTATTGCTATTGATTTTTAACGAATTTGCCGTTGCCCACGAACTAAGCACATTGAGAAAACTATTCACTTCAGATGAAATAATATTTATGTCCGCTCCTTGAAAAAATATGCTCATATCGTCCGCATACGTTATTATCTGGGCATTATGTGAAATATTTATGATGTCGTTAATGTATAGGTTGAATAAAATAGGTCCCAAAACACTTCCTTGTGGTACACCTGACTGTAGTTGTTTTAGATCAGAGAAGTGGCCATTGAGGTGAATTTACTGAAAACGGAAGCTCAAATAACTTCTTATTAACGCCGCCGCATTTCCAGGAATGCCATAATTGTAAAGTTTACGCATTAATGTGTCATGATTTAACCGATCGAAGCTTTCGAAAAGTCTATAAAAATTCCTACCGTTAGAAGTTTATTTTCAAACTTTTTCAGAATTATTTCTTTCATATTCAACAGAGCAAGTTCAGTCGATCGCCCTTTTCTGAACCCAAATTGAGAATCTGTAACAACTGAAAATTTTTCACAAAACTGGTTTAATCGAAAATGTATCAGTTTTTCTAAACCCTTTGAAAATATCGGAAGTACAGAAACCGGTCTATAATTTGATAAATAATTTTTATCTCCAGATTTATAAAGTATCGACACTTTTGCTATATGCATTTTTTTGGGAAAAATACCCTGTGATAACGATAGATTAAACAAATGAGTTAAAATAGGTGCAATTTGCGCAATCACATATTTAACGGGCTTTATTTGGATACCATCAATATCGCAACTTTTACTATTGTTAAGGTTACAAAACACAGAGCTGACCTCATGAACATCCGTAGGATAAAAGAAGATACTTTAATTTATAAATCTCGATACATATAGCAATGCTTCATTCACTCTACTGCGATCATTACTGACTAAGTTAATAAGATAATCATTAAATTTGTTGGCTAGTTCAGCTCCTCCGAGTTCTTGTCCGTTTATTTTTAATTTTTTAGTTCTAGAAGAGGCTGACGTTTTTCCTAAAATCGAGTTGAGTTTCTTGCATATACTGGCACTGGTACTTAAGTTGCTAAACATGTTAAAGTAATAGGTAGATTTTGCTCGTCTAATTAAGTTCGTTACCTCATTACGACATTTCCTAAAAAGATGTAGTATTTCAGGATTTTTTGTACGAACAAATTGCTTAAAAAGTCTATTTCTCTTGTTTATTTTTTTTAGAATTTCGCCCGTCACCCAGGGTTTGCGAGAGCCTTTTGGGGGCCGATGTGTCTTATATTTAAAATTATTCTTGTAAATTGTAGTTAATATCATTATAAAGCAGTCATATGCGTCATCAATAGAGTCCGCAGAGAATACCGCATCCCAGTTCGCATGTTCAATTTCATACTTAAATCTTTCTAAAGCGGTAAATGACATGTCTTGAAATGTAAATGAAAGAGCATCAGTTATGCTTACCTTGGGCAAATTACGATGCACAAAAATGTATATAGTAGATGATCACTGATTGAACAGCCCACAACACCACTTTGTAACAGTGAGGCATCAACGTTTGTAAGAAAGAGATCTATTAGTGTGCTAGAGTTTGAAGTCACACGAGTAGCGAAATTGATAGTATTAGCAAATCCAAAGGAGAGTAAGGAGGAAAATGAGAAAGAGGCGATGCGTCAAGGGAGCATGGCTTGTGGAGGCTACGCGGCTGACGTCATGCACTCTCCTAACCTTCTCCTTGCCACCGGCCCTTGCCCGACCAGCCCGACTCGACGTGCAACCGTGCAGTTCCCGGAGTGGACGCTGCGGGAGAAATGGCGGCGTTGCGATCGCGATTAGCTTGGTTCTCGAGTACGGATCGGAATCACTTTTTTAAAGCAGGCTCTTCGGCAGTTTCCCAACTGAGGGGTTCTAGTAACGTTGTGCGAAACGGAGTTACAGCGAGTACGTCACACCCTGCGAAAATCCAGTGGCCTTGGCACCGACAGCTTTTGCGAACGGCTGGACGTACGCAGCCTCGGCGATTTCCCCTTTGGATTGAGAGGGATGACTGCCGCCATCTATCGTCGTGGACAACCTTCGAAATGGTGGGGAAGCCGTCTCTGCTGTCTTGGCGAATCCGGTGTCTCGGTGAGTCGGCGGTGGCTTTCCCCCTTGAAAGCAACGCTACTCGCGCGAGCGTTCTCTCGGAAGCGGGCTGTCCCCGCCGCTAGAGGAGCATTTGGTGCTGTAGACGCGCTGTCTAGGGCAAATGAGCGGAGTAAAATGTATTATTCTATTTTTATATACCAGGGGTTTCTGCGAGTACTTTCCAAAATTCCTAAAAGTATGGGCGAAAAAGAAATAAACTATTTGCAGGAACAAACCACGGTGGACGCCAGGAATTGAAAAGGCATACTTATTAGCAAACTATAATTACCTAAGGCTTACTGATTGACTTTTTAAGTAATGAAAATAAACACAAGGTTCAAATGAGGAACTTGCTGATCGTCAGCGAAAACCCCTAAATGAGATAATTTTAGGAACTCTTGAAGCACGTGGGAAGCACGGGGTGCGCCCTGAAGTTACCACTTGTGGAGCAGGCATAAGGTCGGCATAGCAAAAACGCGAACGATATATCATCCGCGTTTTCAGATCACCGGCCTTGCGCCTGCTTCAGGAGTGGCAACTTTAGTGCAGCCCCGCGCCTCTACGAAGTCGTTCGAAAGTTGACAAATTTATGGGTTTTTGATGACGCTCAGAACGTTTTTAAATAGAATCACATGTTTATTCTTTTAGGTAATAAAATTACTGATAGTTTTTTTAAAAGAAAATACTTTCCTAATTTCCTGAACGAGCCTAGTTTTAGGAATATCTTAAAAGTATTTGCGAAATACTTAAAAAAATCTCTGTGAATTGTAGTACGCCTCCGAACGCGCATACATAACTTAAGGAACCCACCCGGGACGAGGTAAAAAGGCCACGATGCTGTAGTGCGTGTGTTCAGCGGCCTTCGGGCTACCCGTTGTTCCCGATGTGTACAACAGTGCGACGGCCTCCTTCTTGACGTCGGCCACAGGGAGTTCCTGGAAGGTGTCTTCGTTCAGTTTCTTGAAGTCGGACACGGAAACAAAACCAGGGGCGGTTCCCACGGAGAAGTAACCCTGAAAGCGTTGTACACGAGCGATTAATTGCCACATCACGTCAGGCTCGCCGAGAGACGTCGCAAACAAAGTGCTCGATATCCTGACTTATCCAAGTACCACCATCGTTTGATCGTGCCGCGGGCGCTCCTATTGGATGTCGGTGACGCGATGCAATTTTGAGCTCGTGGCGCATCTAACATGCTTGCGCTCAAGCTCCTATTGGTCGACTGTGGCTGCCGGTGACGCGCCGCCGCTTGCAAGCACGCTCCTATCGGTTGACTGTGGCTGCCGGTGACGCGCCGCCGCTTGCAAGCACGCTCCTATTGGTCGGCTGTGGCTGCCGGTGACGCGCCGCCGTTTTCAAGCACGCTTCTCTTGGCCGGCTGTGGCTGCCGGTGACGCGCCGCCGTTTGCAAGCACGCTCCTATTGTTCTAGTGGAGATGCCGGCTCCGCGCCGCCGCATCAAACTAGACTGGCGGTGACGCTCCGCCATTTTTGGCTCAAGTGCGTCCCAACATGCACCAGCTGGGCGGTACTTGTTTATAAAGTTCATCCCGCGCTTTAGTGGAAAAGGCTCGTTGTAAGAGGCTCCAACACGCTCTGGCGGCGATGGTGACGCAGAGTATAGGCGGCGCTGCGTTAATCCACTATACTCGGCGACAACTTTTCTTGGCAATGCAGTGGAGAGGGGGAGAGCCCGCGCAAAGCTTTATCCAGCGTTCAAAATGGGAGAAAGAACGCGTGCCTGCACCCTCCACTGCATTGTTTCGGCCTTGACTTTTAGCTGCTATTGGCGCATCACGCGACGAAAATGTCAGGCTTTACGCGTTGGGGTCGCTCTTTGCGGAGGAGCAGTGGGGGATGGCGGGTGTATCACTGGGGGCGCGTGTTAACCCAGCCAACACCCCCGTTCACGCCGTTTCGCAACGATAGTCTGTGAATGGCTCATTAAAAATATATATATATTCACCCACCTGGCCTAACGTCCCTCGATTAACGCTTTGCTAAGCAGCAACAGCGATTAAAGTACCAACGCGCTCTCCCATTGTTCCGTGCCCGCGTTCCGTTTCCGGTTAGGAAGAATATGGCGGACTTGACTCGACCTCATCGAATAACGGTTTGGTATACCTTGGCGTTCGAAAACCTACCCGCGGCCTGCGTTGCTCAATCTGGACTGTCACGTGTAAATGACCCGCCGGAGTAACTCGCAAGATTTCAAACACAATCATGGTGGGCAAGTTAAGAAGAACATGGCGGACCGGCTCGGGTCATACAAGCCATCCCGGTCATGGAGAATAGAAGGGTAGGAGAGGGCATGACGTCGGCCGCGTAACCTCCACAAGCCATGCTCCCTTGACGCCTCGCCTCTCTCTCATTTTCCTCCTTACTCTCCTCACTTACCATGCCAACGTGACCACATCACGTGACCGTAGCTAGACTTCGTCTTGCTGTGGGGTACTAGAATACACCACAGTCTAGACTTCGACCTGATAAAACCTACCGGACGGAGCGCGCGCAAGCCTGCAAGGAGTCCTTCTACAATCAACCATCCATCTCACACGTGACATGTCACGCGCACCAATCGCCAGAGAGATCTGCGGTCACGCTGGGCACAAAATCGTTTAAACTTTTTATGACTAGGCTTCACCAATATTGCAACGTGCCCCCTCCTAGTACTTCTAACCTCCTTGATCCCGGTTATGTGGCGGACCAGTTTGTTTTTAATAGTTCTTGGTTGACAAACTTTTTGGAGTCAAGTGTGGAACGCTGGAACTCGTGGTCAGCACGAGCCGAATGCTAATGCAGTATTCGTATCTATGTCCGGCTTTCTTTAGGTGACGCAAAAATTTCAGCACCAAGCATTATTAGCGATGCGCGCAACCAAACGCGCGCTGTAGTCGGCTTCACACGCCAAACCAGCGACAATAGAGCATCAGCTCCCGCGGTGTTGAATTAAGAACGCGACGGCTCCGAACTTCTACTGTACTTCCGCATCGTCGAAAGTGTCGTCTAACCAGGGTCAGTACTCGTGGCGTCACGCCGAGGCAAATTCACGGTCATGGCGTCAAAGACGAAAGCCATAAGAGGACGAAACCAAAACATCTTGGCGCTAATCTTCCGTTTCACCTACTGAACTCCATGACAACTGCAGGATCGAGCTTCCCCCTTCGAGCCCATTGCACGACTGCGGCCACCGGTCGGCCATCATACGACATCCTCTGAAACGTTGTTATTTTTGTTTTGTGTACGAGTGTGCACTTTTTTTTTTAATGAGTATGTTTGCATTGTTTCTTGTCTTTAACTAAATATGTACGAACTTTTTTGTTTCAATATTGTCGTCGAAAAATATGTACTGCAAGGGCATCTGTACCGCAAGGGCGCTTCGAGGTATATTAAAGAAATAAATAATAGGCGGTGGTCACGTGACCTTTGCCTCTGTTGTCACGTAACCTACAGATGGTAACCACGGTGACTGTCCAGGCTTGATAGCGCTAGAGCGAATATCGTATGATGGCTGACAATGGCCGCATTTGCGGAGCGGGAAAGCGCTATCCAGTAGTTATCATAGACATCAGTTGTTTCACCGTAAAGCTGGGATCACGCAGCTCATACCTCATCCAAAAGACAGTCTGCAAACTCGAGTGACCGCAATATCTGTGGTTCAAATGTCGCGTGCCAAGTTCCTCATTGGAACTCTTTGACATGCGGCATTCCAAGCACGGATCCCGCGATGACTCGCGTTCGAATCTGTATGCAGACTCGTTTGTAGGCTGTATAAGCAGTGTGACCCCGGGCTTCACTTGGCTAAGAGCAAACGCTGTGGCCCCCTCGAGCCAATCAGAGAGACGGAGGCGAAGCTCGTGACAGCGCTTACTAATAAACTGAGTACAGAGGCGACAGTCACGTCACTTATGTCTTCCCCAGAGATTAGCCTCCCACTCAATATTCGTACAAAGCGGTTTTCCTCTCTCCGTGGCTTCGGCAGCAACTAGTAGGATAAAGGAGAGTCACGTGGCTCTCTCCGGCGCGCTAATTGGCTCACTGGAACCATAGCCTTCACCATTTTCCATGTGACGGTGAGACGGAGTATGCCTTTTAGGTCGCTGGAGTGGTGAGCACGCGCGCCTACCTTTACGTGCATCTTGTTACGGAAGTCGCTGAATCGTTTAGCTTCACTGGCTGTGGTGAGAATGTGGGTGGCGTTGCTGTCTCGAATCCTGTAAAGAATATCATCTGAAACGAATAAAGTAGGGAAATTAATGATAATATGCTGCGGCGGTCGTCTCCACTGCATGAGTCGCATTTCGAAATCGTCACCGCGGGGATTGCAAAGCTCGATGACGAAATCCTGGGGATCGCATTGCTTACAAGGCCAACAATACTTAATTCCACTAGTGTCAGATGCTTTTATGAAGTGAGAAACATTTCTACCCAATAACTGCGAGGATCAAAGGCATCGATGGCCGTTTGAATGGACGGCATAAATCGGGTTTTTATCGTATCGTGCTGATATTTACTACAGAGGTGCCTGAAGTTGGTGGAAGCTTTCGCTAAAATCCTGGAAAGATTGGCACACCTGAGGAACTCAAGAAGAATAACTATGTTTTCCCTATATAAGAAGTCTGTTCTGTTTTCACTGCTATTGTGAGCGTGTCGCTATATTTTGAATTTAATCAAGTTTCTCACTGCTCGGGCCAGGGAAAAACCATACGATCTTCTAATTTGACGCATCGCTCATTGACCAGTGCCGCGGAGGGCCTTCCTTCCGGCCAAGCTGCCACGCCAACCGATATGAAACAGAATTCAACGGGTATGTCGAGCTCCTCAAGCACCATATCCTACTACGAAAGTATCTCTGATGATCAAGATATGAATTCAGAGCCATATCAAATGGTACTGGGCCGAAAGAGACGCAAACTATCTACTAGCTCATACTGCAGCAGTAAGACAGTCAAAACCATGACCCAGGCTCATCCCCGCCTTACAGTGATAATCAAGCCCAAAGATCCAGTAAGCATGATTGCAGCAATTAACCCGATGAAGATTACAGAGAAACTTGAAATGACTGCTCCAGATGGGGTCATCTTGGTTAGGCCCAATCGAAGACTCAACGTGCTGGCGATTGACACAAAAAACACTGAAGCCACGAAAGCGCTTCTTGGACTCACCTCATTAGGTGGAATACCTGTCATCGCTTATGAACAACTTCCACGAGAATTGGCGGACGGAGTGATCTACCAGGTACCAGAAGACATTACCGAAGCCGGGCTACAATCGGTAGTCCGTGCAACTGCACCCGTCATCTCCATTTCTTGACTGGGTAAATCTGAGTCTGTCAAAGTCGTCATCAGCACGGACACACTGCCAGAATATGTCACCGTGGAATACACAAGGTTCAAGTTGCAGCCGTACATAGAGAAACCATGTCAGTGCTGGAAATGCAGTCGTTTTGGACATGTCCAAACCGCCTGCACAAACGACGTGCGCTGCACTCGCTGTGGAGGAGCACACGACCGTATGAAGTGTGAAGCGGCTGATCTGCTCTGCACAAATAGCGGTAAAGCACATGACTCGACATAGCATGTGTGCCCTGTGTACCAAAGGGAAAAGAAAATATATCAGTACAAGAGCGAAGCTAAAGTTGGGTACACAACAGCAAACGCGGCTCTACTGTCATCGAAAAAGAAAGTGTCCCAAGGTCGCTCTAAAACAGATGGTACAAAAACGAAACAAGACCTGGGAGCTCACCAACTTCTACAGGATGGGATTCAAGATCCACAACCCTCCTCGTCAACACAGCTGTCAAACGTTAGACAAATCCAAACACATGTGAAGCCAAGAGACGCCCAAGTATCCACCTTGGAGTTGAAGAATGAAAACGAATTTCCCAGACTCCCCGATTCAGCTTCGAAATCTGATGTAGACAGTAGAAGTCAAAGAAAACAGGCAACCCAGGCAGGACAAATCCAAGGCACCAGCCAAAGGTCAACCGTCTATTACTGGGGACAAGCTTCAAACAATCGTCAATGTAATCCGTAGTGTCCCTTGTACATGGAAGTCTCCCCTATCCCAAGCACTACTAACTGTGATCGATGCAAAACTTCCACTTATCAAGCTATGGTGTCGTTAGAGAAGCTTCGTGGTGAAGCCACCGTTCTTCAATGGGACGCGAGAGGTCTTCGAAACCGATTAGCGGACTTTCGTCAATTTGTGTTTAAATATCAATTTCTTGTTATTGCGATTTAAGAGTCGCGAGTGTCTCACAACACCAGGTTATCAGGATATGAACTGTATCATTCTCACGGAGGAAATAAACTCAGCAGAGTTTTACTCGGCGTTCGGAAGGATCTGACATTTGTTCAACACAACATCCCGCCACACCCTACAAATGAGTATATCGCAGCAACTATTAGAAAAGCAGAAGTTGCCTTCACAGTTATTGCTGGCTACATACCCCCTCAATCACCCTTCGACGTTCAAAGGCTCGATACTATTCTACAGCAAACCCCATCCCCTCATATTCTGACGGGCGATTTCAACAGTCACCACGCATCATGGGGAAGTAAAAACAATAACACTCGAGGACACGCATTTTTTGACCTCACTCTAAAACATGCTCTTGTAGTACTCAATGACGGAAATCCGACGTATTTTAGAGGGGCATCTATGAGTAGTCCTTTAGATGTTTCGTTCGCATCTTCAACCCTCTCTGGGGAAACAACGTGGTTTGCTGATATTGAAACACACGGTAGCGATCATGTTCCTACATACACTACGATTCAAGGAATGCACTGCACGAAGCGACGTATCACAATGTGCTATACTGACTGGGATCTCTTTAAAACTAAAATGGAATCCGCATGTATCGCGGTAACCGAGCCAAAAGGTCTTGCAGAGGCTATAACCTCTTCAACTTCTCAGGCGACAAAAAATGTCAACATGACAAAACCTCATAGCGCAGTCGATGGTGAATATGAGCGTCTTCGGGCCATTCGTCGACGAGCAGAACGCCGGGCAAGGAAGACTAAGAATGTTGAGGATGTTCGGGCTTCTAGGCGAGCGCAAAAGCGTGTTCAACGCCACTTGGACAAGCTTTCCAAAAGACGCTGGAGGTCACTTAGTTCCAACCTTGACCCGAGAAAACCACACGATCGAACATGGAAAATAATACGAAGCCTACGTGCAAGGCCACAGCAAATTTACCCGTTCGGCGCCATCAGTCTGAGTCGCCAAGTAACAGAAACAGTCGTAGCTGAAGAGTTCTGTATCAAGATCACTTCCAGCTCTTCAAGACCCCATGACTAAGTCAGTGCGCAGGAGGGACATGTATCCGCAAGTGTATGAAAGGCTATTGATGCATGTTTTACCTTAAAGGAACTTGATATGGCGCTCGAGATGTCTAACGTTAGGTCATCCCCAGGCACGGATGGTGTACGCCACATGGGGGAGGGGGCGAGGACCGCACTGCTACACATTTTTAACTCCTCGTGGGAAACGGGTTCTGTACCGAAGGAATGGAAAATTGCTCGGGTTCTACCAATCTTAAAACCTGGAAAATCTCCTTTAGACATTAACTCTTACCGTCCGATAGCATTAACAAGTTGCATAGGCAAAGTAATGGAGCGAATGCTGCTTACCCGTATGGAATGGGATCTAGAAAATAGATATATATATATCCTTCGTCCATGAATGGATTTCGACGCGGAAGAAGCAGCATTGACAACGTTATTGACTTAGTAACTAGTAATGAACAAATGAAGGTAGTAAATAAAAAAAAACAGCAGCTGTATTTGTGGACATAAAGTTGGCTTTTGATTGCGTAGAACACAACGCTATTTTTCGAGATATGAAGGCCATTGGATTTGGAGGACGTGTATACAAATGGATAGCCAATTACCTAAAAGAAAGAGAAGTCTACATATCGACACAGGACGGCAACACCGGTCTTCATCATATTACTAGGGGAGTACCACAAGGAGGCGTCCTCAGCCCGATGCTTTTTAGCATTTCTCTCATAGGTCTCCTGCAAATTCTTCCAAAAACCGTTCACGTGTCTATATACGCGGATGATATCTGCTTCTGGACTTGCAGTAGATCTCTGTATATCAACAAAGCAAGACTACAAAAAGCCATTAACATTACCGCACGGTACCTACACCTCCGAGGTCTCCCTTAGCGAAAACTAATACGTTTGAAATATACCACATTCTAATTTGAGTGTATTTGAAATACAGTTCATAATTGTAAGTACACGAAAAATATACCGAAAATATAAACTTCTTTTTTTTTTTGCTTGGTACTAAAATATACTTCTAAAAGTCATATTAAAATACCTTTACTTAAACTACATTTGAAGTTCCCTTCATGCGTTTTGAAATATGTAAATACTAAATTAATAGGCACAAAATACCTTTCACATATATTTCTTGAAATATTTATTTAATTCATGCATTCTACCAAGCATCGTCAGCGACACTGTCATCTGCGCCGCCTACAAACGCCCATATAAGCAGCTTCGAACTTCTTCAGCCCTTGAGTGAGCACGGGATCAGCCGAACCATGCGGACCACTCATTTTGTCATCTTGCTCGTACAGGTTGGTCCACCTCCCTCGTTATACGCTAAAAAAAACAAGCGATATATGGTTATTGCTATTTCCGTGCTCACAAGTGTTTAAAAAAACTGTTTGTGACTCAGTTGATGTGGTGTACCTTCTACTAAAAATTTCCGGAGACGTGGAATCTAATCCCGGACCGATGAATGAGGCCCAACTTAAACTGTTTAACGAAATGCACTCAATGCTGACAGCCGTCAACGAGCGCTCCCTTAGGATGGATCAGGCTCAATCGGGTATAATTGCTACACTTAACGAAGTTAAACAAAGACAAGAATCTATCAAGGGGGCCATAACGGAAATAAAAACGAGACTGAACGAGGTTGAAAATAAAACTGCTGCAGTCCCTAATCTTCAGCTTGAAGTAACCACAGCGCGAAGCTTGGCGGAAGAAGTGAAGAAAGAGAACCTAGTACTAAGAACACGCCTAGATGATGCTGAAGATCGTTCACGCCGTGATAATTTGGTTTTTTTCGGGATGGCCGACACAATATCTGAAAAATGGGCACAGACAGAACAAACAATTCTGAACATATTTAGACAGTCCCTTAATCTACAAGTATCGGACGAAGCTATTGTTCGGGCCCATAGAATCGGCACGTTCTGTCAGAACAAATGCC